CATGCAAAATGATCCATGCAGCACAACCCATGCACCATGGACCCATGCAGCAGTCAATCCCAACAGTCCAGCCCTTCAAAGAGCCCATCGCCCTTAACAGCTGAAGTCTTGTAGATGGCCCACGGGTAGCTCTTTACCTTGTGCAGCCCACCAAGGCGATTGCGACAACCCATGCAGCATGACTGATGCACCACGACCCATGCACCAACCACCCCAGCAGTCAATCCCACCAGTCCAGCCCTTCAAAGAGCCCATCGCCTGTGACAGCAGACGTCTTGTAGATGGCCCACGGGCGATTCTTTACCTAATGCATTCCCCCAAGGCGATTGCGACAACCCATCCAACATGACCTACGCACCACGACCCATGCGCCACCCCTGCTCTCACCAGTCCAGCCCTTCAAAGAGCCCATCGCCCTTGACAGCAGACGTCTTGTAGATGCGCGGGCAGCTCCCTTGACCTTATGCAGCCCCCAAGGCGATTGCGACAACCCATGCAGCATGAGCCATGCACCACGACCCATGCGCCACCCCTGCTCTCACCAGTCCAGCCCTTCGAACAGCCCATCGCCTTTAACAGCTGAAGTCTTGTAGATGGCCCACGGGCGGCTCTTGATCTTATGCAACCCCAACGCGTCTGACACCTGCACCTCACTCATGGCTCCGGGCAGATCCTGAGCGATACAGAACAGTGGAGGTGGGTAAACATGGGTGGAGATGGGTGAGCGAGAGGGATTGGAAAAAGAGAAGGTGGGTGGCTTCTTAAGTCTACTGAAACTGCTAAGGCGTCTGAAACCTGCACTGACTCGAGACTTGGGCAGATCCTGGGAGGCACATACGGGTGGAAGGAGGAAGGTGTTTAAACGACACTTGCAACTCAAGCAAGTGGATGAAACGAATATTAAAACGAGCCAAGACCCCAGATCTCACCTGTTTGTTGGCATACACCAGCACCACTGCTTCTTTCAACTCCTCCTCCTGAAGGCATCATCAGAAGGGGCAGGTACACACACGACAAGTATAGCTTGTGAGAACACTCAGGAGACATGGAGAGAACGGCGACATCAATGGAATCAACAAAATGGTTTGAGGAACTTGCAAGGCTTCTTCTTCTCAAAAGCAGTTGATGGCAAAAATAATAAAGAGCACGGAGAAATGTTGCCTACAGGCAGACAGCCTGATCCCAGAACCTCTGGCACAAATACTGCTCATAGCGATACCAAGAGGTTCCGTCAACACAGAGGAGCATTTTAAACGAATTACGACGCCTTGCCTTCCACGCGCCACCATCATCGATACATCACCCACATCCATTTTGGCGTGGACTTCCTCCTTAGAGGAATTCGACGCAATTTGGAAATTGTAAAAGCTCCCTCATCTTTTTTTTTTTTTAAAGCAACCCCGGGTAGAACACTGACATCGAGAATGGCATGAAATTCCTCCTTGGACGTGCCGATTCTGTCCACATCTGTCGAGTCAACCACGTATATGACGGCCTGTGTGTTGGGGTAGTAACACCGCCAGTAGGGTCTGTTGGGTGCACATGAGAGGACAGGGATGGATGGGGAACAATTAGAAGAGAACAGTAAAAAGAAGAGGAACGTGATGAGAATCAGGATGAGTGTTCCAGTAAAAGCACAACCAGTATGGTCGGTTAGGCACACAAGAGCGGAAGGGATGGTGAGGGCACAATAAGGAGGGGAGCGGGGAGAAGAGGAAGGTGGCGGGATGAGTGTTGCTGAAGTAACAACACCCGTAGGGCCGGGGGCAGGGGTGAAAGGAAGGGGGCGAAGAGGGAAGTGGGGCGGAGAGAAGGAAGGAAGGAAGGTGAGGATGGGGAAAGGGAAAGGAAAGGGGCAGGGGAAGGGTGGGGCAAGGCAAGGGTGGGGTGCGAAGCAATTAAAGGCTGCAGGTTCAATCCAAGAAAGAAATGCCCACAAATCAGACGGGATTGGGAGCGATAAACCGAAAGCAGCAGTCGTGCCATGAAAAAAAGGAGGTCTGGAGAGAGCCAAAGTCGAGACTTGAGTGGTGGCAGAGCCACGAAATTACTCCAGAATGAAGCACGCACTCAAGAGTCGAGAAAATGCTCAACAACCGAGCAAGAACGCCCAAGAAACAAGAAAGCGGTCAACAGTGAGGCACACACGCACCTGATACTTGTTTGTCCACCTACACAGAAGAAAAGCACCACATCAGACAATCATGGAGTTCAGATAAGACAAAAACGAGGAGAAAAGGGTCAGCTGACGTTCAAAAAGGTAAGGGAAATGAGGTGGAGGAGCATTGGAGATTGAGAACTGGGTCGACGAGAGAGAGAACTAGCAGCGTGGCAAAGGCGGTTGAGTATTGATATTGGAAAAGGCGGTGGTGTTGGGTATTGGTAATGGCTAACGCTCTGATAGACGTGAGGGGAGCACATTGGGAAAGACGAGCACCAGTGAAGAGTGACAAAAGAAAGAATGTGTCAGTACGGAGGTGGGAAGTGGGTTGGGGGGTGGGGTGAGAGGTGGGGTGCGGAGTGGGTGAGAGGTGGAGTGGGGAATGGGGTGAGAGGTGGGGGAGGTGAAATGGAAGGAAAGGGAACCAGGGACAAATGGACGAGGTGATTTGAATCTTACCTAGATCCCAAACTTGAAACTTTATGTTCTTGTATTGAACCGTCTCCACATTGAATCCGATAGCTGTTCCAAAAAAAAAAAAACAATAACAAAAACGAAACAAAACTTCAAGGTGTGATCCATAGAACTTCGGGAAGCTCCAGTTTGCACCACCACCGCACACTGTAATAAACTATTTATTGATTGGAACACACTCAAAAGGTTATAGCTTGAATCCAGTTCGAACCTTATATCCATGCCCGAATCCTCGAATCCTGACACCTTATTCAAGCTTCGTTATTCTAACTCGTTAATTGACATATTCAAACAGTAATTGGCAACCCCAGAAGAAAAGCCAATTGAGTATCTTACTTGGAATTGTCGAGACCACCTCGCCGACCTGCAACCGATCTGCAGCAGAGAGGATGGGTCAAAAGCAACAGGACAATGCTGAGGGTAAAGCACTTGAAATCAATGAAGCACACACGCCAAACGAGATTAGGACAGAAACGACATCCGCGAAGCAGTCGCAGCTCGTCGCGAACCCCACGTTGACACCGCTTTACCCATGCGGCTGCTTTTGCCGGCCTGCGCAACTTAAGGGGTGGTGACTTAACCGCGGCAGACGCGATCCATGACGACCCAAGGGTGACTTAAAACAACTTTTCGGCCACGTCGCATTCCGATTTTCCAGTTGACAGGGATGGCGAATTGACTAAGTCGCGTAAAAAAAAAACTTTAAAGGCACCGACTGCACTCCACGAGGTCGTACGGCATCTGGGATGCGCTACTATGCCTTATCGGATGCCAAGAAAGCCATTTCTGTTGGTATGTCATGGGAATAAACTCCTCCTGTTAATATGCCATTTCGACTAATTCATGTAACAAAACCGCAGTAGTGATCGATCGGAGCATTTGCCGGAAGCAAATGAATCACCTCATTGCAAGGATCACTTGATCTCAACCCTCCGATTGATACTAAATAAACTGCTTTCCAGGTCAGCGTTGAAATGGCTACCAACGTTGAGCTGACGTACATAGGATGGTGGTTTTGCCGGCATTGTCGAGGCCCAGAACGAGAATTCGTGCTTCTCTCTCGCCGAACAGTGAGCTCAGCAACTTCGATATAATCACACCCATCAGATGTCAATTGATCTCAACAGTCAGACGGATTATTCTATGCCAGGCAGCCTGTATATTCTTCTAGAGGTCTGTTTGGGCTACGATTGTCGTGGTCATAAGCGTTCCCGACAGTTTGTCAGACTCCCGGCTCTCGCTCCTACAAAAAGAGTTTTAAGACCTTCCCATTAAGCTTCAGGTACGAATCTACGACGACCCACTTTACTGGACCCGCAGCTCGCCGGTTAACAAATCGTGGCAACGAGAAAGCCACAAAGTGGAGGACTGGCCCTGACAAATTCGGATGGTGAAAAGGCGGAGTCGAACGACGAAGATGGGTAAAACGACCTCCTAGATATTATAACCTTCTGCTATCTTCGGTGTGAAACACTGAAATAAGCAGAAATTGGCGACCTAGAGGTGGGTGGGAGGGATGACCAATGTGATCGTGACGGAATTCCCGAGACAAGCACAGATCCTGATTTGTGATTCGACCTCCTGGACCCATTGGACCAGCCAGCAACGGCTCTTTCTGCGCTTGTGATTGTATGGAGCGTGTCAGGTGCGAGGGAAAGTTCGGGAGTTTCTATGGCCAGGTCCTCGCGCTTCACGCGCTACAAGGAAGAAAGCAGAAATCTCTGTCATTCGTGTACTCCATAAACTCGACCTAATCGTCTATCAAAATGAACGAATCAAGCTTCTTTGATATTGTTATAGGCGGAACATTCCAGATACTGGACAACATGAAATAATATTGTCAATACAGAATGGGCGCATCACTTGTTGGTGTCTACTGCGATGACGGCGGCCACATTCCTTCTATGGTGGCGATCAACCTTGCAAAGGGCGAGGGATGGGATGGGTGCAAAGAAACAGGAACACATACTTACGATTACAGAGAACACTAGTCATGAAGTCTTACATCATTCTATCGTAATCCCTTCTTGAGACATCAACTTCAATCATTCTCATCTCTCCTGCTTTTGCCCAACGCATGTGCGACTCTGGAGAGGAAACTTAATCTCACACATAACCCTCAATGGTAATCCCTTGGCTTGTGTGCACTTGGTGCATGGTGGATTTTAGGTCGACTCAGAATACAACAGGGAGAGACGCATCTGGGTGCATGATTATAAGTTTAAGACGACTCGGATTCTTAGTCGACTTAACTTAACCATGCACCAGGTGCTCCTCTCCCTAACGTATGCACCTGGTGCTTGGTAAGTTTAAGTTGATTAAGAATCCAACAGGGAGAGGCGCACCTGGTGGTGCATGGTTAAGTTTAACTCGACTCTGAATACGAGAGGGAGAGGCGCACCTGGTGCATGGTGGTGACCATGGAGAGGTAGCAGTTCCAGAGCAGTGGGCAGTTCCAGACCATGGTACAAAGGAACAAGAGCACATACATTATGACTAAAACAAAAAAAAAACAGTCACAAAGTCGTTCAACCTTTCCCCTGCACGCACCTGTTGCATGGTGACCTCAGCAGCGAGCAGGTCCAAACCATGGTACAAAGGAACAAGAGCACTTTCATATCGCACATCCCCCCCAGATACCTTCCTTTCCCCTGCACGCACCTGGTGCATGGTGACCATGGAAAGGTGGCAGTTCCAGAGCAGCGAGCAGGCGGAGGAGAAGGCGGGGCGCAGGTGCAGCGGCACCAGGCGGAACGATGTGAAGCTGGCCGGCAGCCAGAAGTGCCACCCGCGCCGCCACGTCCGCAGGAAGTCCCGCCGGTACTTGTCTGCAGGAGAAAGGACAGTTTGAGATTCAGGTTCGGGAGACAGGGTGAAGAGCATGGGCGAGAAGAGACATGAGAGGGGGATTGGGCATGGATACGTTATGCGGGACGGAAAAGCAAATGTAAAAGAAAGTGCAGGAGAAACGGGGAGGATGGGAGGCGGGTGAGGAGGGGAAGGGGAGGAAGATGGGAGGGGAGCCAAATCGGCAGCCTTTCTTGTTACGAAGTGCATGAAGCTGGCCAGTGCATGTGTGTTGGAACACAAACACAGCAGCAGCAATATTGGAGGAGACTGATAAAACGTGACGCACCTTTGAGTGCATGCAGCTGACCCATGAATGCATAGTGAATCGCAGACACAGCAGCAGCGAGTTTCGAGAAGCCTGACAACACGTGACGCACCTTTCAATGCATGCAGCTGTCCTGTCCACACGTAGTTAAATGCAAACACGGCAGCAATCAGGCACGGATTCAGCAGAGCCTGAGATGCCAGCACCTTCCCCACAGTGGCGCCCAGGCTTCTCCCTGGCGCTACCCTCTCCACCAGGGGGTACCACACGTGCAGCGCAGGGCCGTATATGCACGCGCCGTACACCATCATTCGCAAGGATCTCGCCACGTTGAATGTTGGTGCTGGTCCTGCTGTCGCGTTGCCAGAGCCGTCCCTTGATATGCCGCTGCTGCTGTAGCTGAGGGTATTAGCTTTGTCACCGCACGTGTCGCTTGGCTGCGCTGCTTCTCCACACGTGTCGCGGATCCGCGCTGCGTCTCCAGCTGAGGAGAGCTCGATGCACTGCGCGCACACGTCCCCGCCCGCCAGCAGCGCGCCTGACGTCGCGGACGTGCGGAGCAACGGCGGAAGGCGCGCGGCGGACTGCAGAAGCGCGGAGGCAACGGGGGAAGCGCGGAATTGCCACGCGCGGTTCACATGCGCCTGGAAACGGTCGACGAGCGGGAGAAGCGCGCCGGTGGTTATCGGATTTGCGTCCCCCCCGCCTTTGCCTCCGCCCTCCTCCCCTCCTCCGCTTGAACCACGTCCGCCGGAACCGCTGCCTCCCCCTGATCCCCCGGACCCGCTGTTGCCCTCCTCGCCTCCAACATTCTCTCCCCTCTCCCCACCCCCTCGAGAATCTCCTTTCCGCCCCATAAATCCTCCCCCATTCCCCGATTCGCTTGTTCCGCTTCTGCTGATCCCGCATCCGCCTTCCCCCCCATTTGTGCGTCTGTTTCCTCCGCCGTTTTCGTTGCGCACAGCGCGGATCGTTCTTCTTTGAGCTCTGCGCTTTATTATGTCTGACTGATTAGCATCACCAAGAGGCGCTCTGGTATATTCAAAGGTGTCACGACGCGATGCGATATGTGTTGTTGTGAAAGCGGCACGTCGCGGAGAGCCAGCGGAGTGGGAACTGTCGACTGCGGAAAAAAAAGGGGAGCGCGCGGGAGGAGCGGAAGCCGCCATTGGGGATGAGATCGAGCAGCGGTGACGGGATCGAAATTCGAAACGGGTCGGAGTCCCGAGCTTGCACTGGTTGAGCTGTGATCCACCCCACCAGAACAGCATGAGTGTTGGGGTGTTGCAACAGTCGTTGCCGCAGGAAAGAGAAATCGAGCTGTGGCAGGTGGAGTGGAATGGAGAGGGGCGGAGTGAAGTGCAGTGGAATAAAGGAGTGGAGTGGGGTGAAATAGAGGTCTAGAGTGTTTTGAAGTTGATGGAGAGGAGGGTGGAGGAAGGAGGGTAGGAGGGAAGTGAATCAGTGGGCTGGCAGCCATGGTCATTTCGCTTACCGGTCAGGAGTTACCGAATCTAAGCCGGTAACCATGGTCATTTCCAGTGGCGACGTTCGTCAACAGCTGAAACGAAGTTCGCTTACGGTGCATCATGATTGGCTGCTTCCGTTTGTTATCGGGCGTGACGCGCTTCCACGAGGTCTCTGACAAAAGGTTTTCGTGCCTGACAAACAGGTCACCACCACCAGCCTCCACACACCTACCTTGTGCTACGTTTTGTGGATGGTCCCGCTTCTCCGCTGCTCTCCAGGCACTCCCTGAAAACGACCATCTGGCTTCTAGGCTGTCTGACATATTGGTGGGATGAAAATGCCAGGTAACAGCAGCAACTGAGATATGATCACACCCGAGCTCTGTCATGGTTCAGCCGACTACTCCGTAGCCCGTATTCTCTGTTCACAACCGGTCCATTCAGCATCAGTTCCGTTCAGCCTAGTTTCTTACGGCGTGCATGGGAGCCTTAGCAAGAAGTTTTGAATAATTAGCTCTTGAGGACGGGCTTCTGCTGGGCTTATCCACTCCGTCTCGACAGTATTTTCACCTTAGCGTATAGCAAGAGGTGCCACTAGGCAGTATGATATAGTGTTACGGAGAGGAGCAAGTTATTTGGTCAGCCGAAAGAGGCGATTCGGTTTCCGTTACCATGCCTGTATTTGGTTAGGGATTGGTTAACATCGCAGCGATCGTTCGCGATGGGCCGCTCTTCGCCCGTGCGACTGTCGCTTCTGCCTCTGCTGCTGCTCGCGCTGTCGCGCGGCGGAGAAAGAGCGTCAGGTACGAGCTGTGAGACGCCTTAACACTTGCTCGCACTGACCAAATGCTCGCGCTGTCACATGGCGGAGAAAGAGTGTCAGGTACGAGTTCGCGTCGGCAGTGCTCTTCGGACCGCAGTGCTGCTCGGATTTCAACTTAGTGTCGCTTGGACTTCATGCTATGCTGCGTTGACCGCGAGTTAGGTCTGCTCGGACCGCAAATTTGAGCTGGTGCTGCTCGCACCGCATGTTAGTCCTGCTTAGACCGTGTTTTAGGGCAAAGTTGTGAGCGTGACTGCATTCGTCCGTGCTCGTGGCCAAGGATCGAGTTTCTGTGCATGCCTGGTTACATATCGAGTTGACTTTTGAGTCGATTCAAAAGTCAAGTCGACTCAAAAGTCGAGTCGCCTCAAAAGTCAGCATTAATGCGTGCGTGTCCGTGGCCAAGTATCGAGTTTCTGTGCATGCCTGGTTACATAACGGAGCGTGTGGGCATGCAAGTGGTACAAAGCCGTATCCAGACTCTTCGCCTACTTCTTCATCTCCCCTCACAATCCCCCTCTCCCTCTCCCCCCACTTCCTCTCCTACCCCCCAACCCACCCCTTCCGCCTCCCTCCCTTGCAGCGTCCAGTCGTCCCATCGTGATCGGCAGGAGGGGCGCCATGGGGCCCATGCCTGAGATCACCCCACCCCCACCCACCCCCACCCACCCCCACCCCCTCTCCCCGCCCTCCCCACTCCCCCCCCTCCACACTCTTGCAGCGTCCAGTCGCCCCATTGTGATCGGCAGGAGGGGTGCCATGGGGCCCATGCCAGAAAGCACGTTGGAGGGATATGCGAGGGCCATTGCGGATGGAGCGGACTATGTGGAATGCAACGTCATCTGGTGAGAGGGGGTGTGATATGACTGTTCTGGAACATGTCTTCATCTGCACAATTGTTATGGTCCATGCCTGAGAGCACGTTGGAGGGATACGAGACGGCCATAGCCGATGGAGCGAACTACGTGGAATGCAATGTCATCTGGTGAGAGGGGGTGTGATGTGACTACAGTGGGTATGTATTTTATGTCTTCATATGCAAGATGGCTCATGCCTGAAAGCACGTTGGAGGGATATGCGAGGGCCATTGCGGATGGAGCGGACTATGTGGAATGCAACGTCATCTGGTGAGTTGGAGGGGTGACTATGATGGTCCATGCCTGCAAGTACCTTGGAGGGGTACGAAAGGGCCATCGCTGATGGAGCGGACAATGTAGAATGCAACGTCATCTGATGAGCTGGGATGTGACTATAGCGGGGTGCGTCTTCCTCTGCAGATATTTGATGGCTCATGCGTGAGAGCAGAGCACCTTAGAGGGATACGAGAGGGGCATAGCCGAAGGAGCGAATTATGAGTCAGACGCTAGTGGCTAACGTAGCAAACCCCCCAAGGGTCTTACAGAAATCCGTCCGTCTCCTTGTTCACTCATTATCTTCTTCCCTCCCCTCCTTCCCTCCTTCCCGCCTTCCCTCCCAGTTTTGCGGACCAGCACAGCACACTTTGAGCTGATCTGCTGGCAGGACCTGGACTGGTCCTGGCGACGCCGGTGGTGACACATGTTGTGCACCACCCAGAGCTCCCCCTCTTCTTGCCAACTCCCATCCCATCTCCTCGTCTCCCTGGTCGCATACCCTCATCCTCCCCTTCCTCCCCCGTCTCCTCCCATCATTTGCTGACCAGCACGGCAGACTTGGAGCTCATCTGCTGGAACGACTTGGATTTGACGCTCGTGACGAACGTGGCACACCACCCGGAGCTGAGTCAACTCAAGTCAACGGCGGTCATAGAGGGGCAGGAGGTGGAGGGATTCTTCGCATTCAACTTCACGTTCGAGCAGATCCAGATTCTCAGAGGTGGGTTTGACACACAGTGGCGTTTTTTTGTGTCCGGAGAAGTGGGTTGGCACCACCCGGAGCTGAGTCAACTCAAGTCAACGGCGGACATTGAGGGGCAGGAGGTGGAAGGATTCTTCGCATTCAACTTCATGTTCGAACAGATCCAGATTCTCAGAGGTGGGATTGGCACAGAGCTGTTTGGTGGTGGGATTGGCTCAGAGCTGTTTGGTGGTGGGTTTGGCACCACCGCTGAGTCAAATTAAGTCAATGGCGGTCAGAGGGGCAGGAGGTGAAGGGCTTTTTCGCCTTCAACTTCACGTTTGAGCAGCTCCAGATTCTCAGAGGTGGATTTGGCACGTAGTGGTGTTTTGGGTACGGACTTGTGGTTTGGGCACATCTGTTGAAAGAGATCCACCAATACACAGGTCTTTCTTTGTACACATGATTTACCTCTCCTCTCTCCATCCCCTCCCTTCCCTGCAGAGCAGTGGAGCAGCGATACCTGTGGCGGGAAAAGACTCAGTCATGGCACATCCACCAATTCACATGTCTGCACGAACTTGCAAGTACACATGATTCTCCCCTCCTCCCTCCCTCTCCTCCCTTCCCTGCAGAGCAGTGGAGCAGCGATACCAGTGGCGGGACAAGACCCTTCACGGCCGGTTATCCATCCCCACGCTCTCTCATGTGCTCGCCCTCGTGCTCTCCTCCAATCAAAACCCCGAGCTGCTCGCTGCTAGAGGCAACCGACCCGTGGGGCTGATGCTGGAACCGAGAGTGAGTGCTGGGGAGTGGGGAATGGAAGGAGGAGGGAAGGGAAGAGTTAAGGGAGGAGATGAAAGAAGGGTGCTGTCACGTCCCTCTTAAATTGACTTGAGAATCAACACTCGATACTCAATTCTTACTCTATCCTCCCTTTTTGTCCTTGCCCCTGGAACCCACACTCAGTACCCTGAATTCCACGAGTCCATTGGGTGCCCGCTTCTCAGGTCACTCCTCACTCTCCTCAGCGTTAACAGCCTGCAGTGACCTCCCCACCCTTCCAACCCCTTCAACACCCTCACCCCTTCCCTTTCCTTCCCCAACCCCAATATTTCGCAGTACCCTGAATTCCATGAGTCCATCGGGTGCCCGCTACTCGAGTCGCTCCTGACTCTCCTCAGCGTGAACAACCTGCAGCCACCTCCGCGCCCTTCCAACCCCTTCAACACCCTCACTTCTTCCTCCTCCCCCACTGCCTCTCTTAGTGACCGCCTTGCTAGCATCAGCACCACCACCATTTCTACTGACAATGCTCCCACAGCTGGTGCTGCTACAGCCGGGGGGCGGATTGTGCTTGACCCAGCAGTGCAGCCGGTGGTGATAGAGGCGAGGAGCTCTGCTGCTCTCGTCTACTGCAGCCAACGCACCTCCATTCCCCTCGTGCAGATCCTGGAGGCGGGATGGGACGAGGTGAGAATGGATGGGATAGGGTGAGGAGGGGTGGGATGGGGCAAGGAGGGGTGCAATTTTTTGCTCATAAAAGGAAGCCTCCCTTGAAATCGTGGGCACAAGCACCTGCTGAACCGGGCCAGACCCCTTTCTGTACTCTCTAAACTCTCCCACTCAAGGGTCAAGACTACGGTTCGTTTCATATGGTTTAGGGTTCGTTTCATACGGTTGTTTTTTTTATGTTTTTTTTTTTTTTTTTTTCTGGTCCGTATTTACCTCTTCCCCAGTCCCTCCCACCCCCCAGCCATCTGACACCAACCCCATCCTGCAGGCCCCTCCTCCCGCCTGCCCTCCTACCGTATCCCTCGCAGCCTGCATGCTCGATGTTATCTCTCTCCACGCCATGGGCATCGCACCAGAGAAGCATCTGGTGCTGCCAGTGGAGGCATGGCACAAGAAGCGTCTACCAACCCCTTTCCCCCGTCCCTCCCACCCCCGTGTCCTCCCCCCTCCTCTCCCGCACCAGCCATCCGACACCAACCCCATCCTACAGGCCTCCTCCCTTCATGCCCGCCCACCACCCCCCTGCGAGCCTGCATGCTGGACGCCATTTCACTCTATGCCGTGGCCGTCGCACCGGAGAAGCATCTGGTGCTGCCAGTGGAGTCGTGGCACAAGAAGCTGCTCAACCAAACCCTGTCCTGTTCCTCTTGAACTTGAACAATTCCCCACAAACCATCCGATGCTCCCCTTTCCCGCTTCCCTCTTCCCTTTTTCCCCATCCCCCAGCCATCGGACACTAACCCCATTCTGCAGGCCCCTCCTCCCTCCTGCCCGCCCACCACCCCTCTTCGAGCCTGCATGCTGGACGCCATATCACTCTATGCAGTGGCCATCGCACCAGAGAAGCATCTGGTGCTGCCGGTGGAGTCGTGGCACAAGAAGCTGCTCAACCAGACCGACCTCGTCTCCCTCGCCCGCCACCCAGCCCGCCAGCTGGCTGTGCTGCCCTGGCCCTTTGCCAACGACTGGATCTTCCTCTCCCTCAGTTACGAGCTCGTGAGTGCACCGTCTCTCTCTTTCTAGCCCATGAGCTCGTCCCTGAGTGCTCCTGCTTCTCTCTCCTTTCATTCCATTTTTTCCAGTCGTTTCATCTCGTCCCTCCATCTCTCTCTCTCCTCAGGACCCTCTAAACGAGTAAGCCATGTTTGCTGAGGTGGTGGGAGTGAATTGCCTCGTCTCTACCCCTTACATCCGCCTCCCCTCGTCTCTCCTTCCTTCCACTGGTCTCATCTCTCTTCGCCACCCCTATTCGCATCGACCCCTCTCTCCCCTCAGGACCCTCTGAACGAGTATGCCATGTTTGTGGATGGCCACTCCCTTTCCTCCCTTTATCCCATTTCTCTCCCCTGGTGTCATCCCATCTCTCCTCTCCTCTCCTCTCTCCCCTCAGGACCCTCTGAACGAGTATGCCATGTTTGTGGAGGCGGTGGGAGTGGATGGTCTCTTCTCTGACTTCCCCGCCACCGCCCTTAAATACATCCGTATGTATTTCATTTAGAAACCCCATAAACCTGAAACCCAGAATCCGCATAAATATGTCCTCGCTCCAACCTTAACTCGCTCAGACCGTGCCCCTCTCCCCCCTCCACAAAACACTCCCAAGGGTCTCAGGACAGCCTGGCAGTAGCATCGGGAGTGCTGGGCGTGTTGATTGCCGTGCTTTCTTGCTACAACCTTAACTCGCTCAAACCATGGCGTGGCCCTCTCCCCCCACCACAAAACACTCAACAGGGTCTCAGGACTGCCTGGGAGGAGCATCGGAAGTGCTGGCTGTGTTGGTGTTGGCCGCCCTACTCCCACCCCTCTGCCCTTAGCTCACTCAAACTCCCCCTCCTCCCCCTCCCCTCCCCATCCCATCTGTAAAACTCACCTCAGGGTCTCGGGACTGCCTGGCAGCAGCATCGGGAGTGCTGGGTGCGTTGGTGGCCACACCAAGAAAACGAGGCCTAGCAGGTGAGTGGGGGAGGAATGGTTGCTTCGAGGATTAGAAGCATGGGGAGCGCTGCAACACCAGCCCTTCCATCCCCATGGCCAGGCCTGGACTGACAGCCATGGCCAGGAGCTTGCCTTATCCATCCATCCCTTGGCCTCTCCTTGCCCCCCTTCCTCACCCTCCCACCCGGACCTCTTGTTCCTTGCTGTCGTTGTCACCACCATTGCCGTGCTGCTCCTTTTGAGTTTACTCAATAGTCACTTCCTAAAAATACACCGCTCCTCCAGTGTGCCTGTGAACACCAAAACGATTTTCGGGCTATTCTTCTTAAGGTCATCATTGGTGCTGTTCAACCTGCTCTCAGCCAGAAAGCCGGCAGCACTGGTAAGTCGGTGTTCACATTCTTCATAACGCTCTTCACATGCTGGTTGCAGAAACGCCGACAGGACACGAAGACGCAAGGAAGCTGGTGGAGGAGATATTGTGCATTTTCACCTTGGCGCGCAGCAAGGCCAGCGTTACCAGAGTGTTGTCGAAGGTAGTCACCCTGCTCCCGTTCCACTTCCGGCGTTATGCTCTCTCCGTCGTTTATAGTGTTGTTCTAAACGCTTGATTTACTCACATGTGCTCATTGCGTTGCCCGCCAACTTCGATTTGTCGAGGACTTCGTCGCGACCGTTAGTAAGTTCTTACTCGGCCAACTAGGGGACCGCGCTGCTGCTATCCGCATGTGTGCTGCCAAGGTTTTCAAGAGAGTGGTTCCTTTGTAGGGGGAAGCGGAGTCGACGTGGAGATGACCCGAATTTGTTTCAAAACATGTTTAAGAGAGATACGAGCTCTATATGCTTCGTCCAAATCGTATGTGGTTGCGCACGGTTGTAGCTTTCAGCACACGATGCGAAAAGCGTCCGCAGTGGAACAAACGATTTGGACGAAGCTTACCTAGCTCGTGTCTCTCTTCAACATGTTTCAAAACAGCTTCGTGGTTGTCTCGACGTCGACTCCGCCAACAACTCAAACGAGCCCACTCTCTTGAGAGTATTGGCAACGCACACGCTGATGGCAGCAGTGCGGTCCTCTAGTCGACCGAGCAAGAACTTACGGACGATCGTGACGAAATACTCGACAGATCGAAGTTGGCGGGCAGCGCAATGAGCACCTGTGAGTAAATCAATCGCTCATAAAAACACCTCAAACGACGGAGCGGGCATAACACTGGGAGCGGAACGGGAGCGGGGTGGCTACCACCAACAGCACTCTGGTAACGCTGGCCTTGCTGCGCGCCGAGGTGAAGAGGTACAGCATCTCCTCCGCCAGCTTCCTTGCGTCCTGTCGGCGTTTCCGCGACCCGCACGCCGAGGAACGTCATGAAGAATGTAAGCACCGTCTTACCAAGGTTGTCGGTTTATTGGCTGAGAGTGAGTTGAATGCCATCACACCTCAAGAAGAACAGCTCGAAAATCGTTACGGTGTTCACAAGCACACTGGAGGAGAAACATGATAATGTTAGGGGAGGTGTTTTTTAGTCGACTCAAATGTGACCTCGTCACAATGGCACACGACACATTTTCCACAAGGAGGGCTATTATTGCATGAAGCTATAATCTAATTTCTGCAAACAAGTGTTAGGGTACAGTATTTTTTTCTTTTCGCTCATATTTCACATTTCCTTTGTCCCCAATTCCTCCGCGAGGGCTTTCCAGCATAAGTAGTGCTCGTTCTCATTTATGACTGTTTGTGGTCTGAAGAAGGCTCATATGCCGAATCCGGTTACCGTCGTTTTTTTCACACATGATTTTTCAGACAAGCACTCGAACAAACCAATCTCAAGGTATTCTTTACAAACAGTTGCTACCTCGTATCGAACCTTGGCACCTACATGGTGTTCTATTGAACACCAGCCCTTCCATCCCCATGGCCAGGCCAGGAGCTTGCCTTATCAATCCACCCTTGGCCTCTCCTTACCCCCCTTCCTCCCTTCTCCCCCCCTTGCCCCCCACCTGCTCCTTGCTGTCATTGTCACCATTGCTGTGCTCCCCATGGCAGTGTGGGCGCTCTATGCCATGCACAAGTGGAGGCAAACGGAGCAGCACCAGCCCTGGCAGGACCTTGCTTTACCCAGCCAGTGCTTGCCATCTCCTTTATCCCCTCCCCCCCTTCCCCCAGACCTGCTGATCCTGACCGTCATCATCACCATTGCGGTCCTTCGAATGGCTGTCTGGACGTTTTACATCATGCACAAGTGGAGGCAGACGGTGAAGCATCTGCACTGGCAGGAGTTTGCCACCATCCACTCCCACGGCTCCACCACAGCCTCCGAAACACAAACCCTCACTGCTCTTCACGCTGTTGCTCTTGACTCTGATCGACCATCCCTTACCCTCTCTGTAAACCACTTCCCTCTCTGTAAAAACCCCTGCCCCTCTATCCCGCAGATCTCCTGATCCTAGCTGTCATCATCACCATTGCGGTTCTCCCCATGGCGGTGTGGACGCTCTATGCCATGCACAAGTGGAGGCAGACGGAGCAGCATCTGCACTGGCAGGAGTTTGCCACGATCCACTCCCACGGCCCCACCACAGCCTCGGAGCGACAACCCCTCACTGCCCTCGCGGCTGACTCTGACCTTAGCCCTTCCTCCGCTGCCGCTGCCGCTGCCGCAGCTGCTGGTGGTGCTGCTGCTGCTGTTGCTGGTGGTGGTGCTGGTGATATGAGTCCTTCTGCCCTGTTTTCTCCCCGCTTCAGCACATTGCAGCACCACCGCCCGTCCTCTCCCCCGCCGCTGCCACCTGGGCTTGGGGGCGTGGAGGATGGGTCAGTGTTGTCGTCAGCAATGGCTGGTGGGGGGCGGTCGAGAGGGGGTAGGAGAATCAGAGCCATGGACTTTGGGGAAGAGGACTGGTAGGTGTGAGATGCTCTTAACATCATCTGCAGCATCGTCACCAGCAGCAGTGGTCGGAGAATCAGAGCCATGGACTTTGGACAACAGTGGTATCCTAGCTAAGTGTGTGAGATGCTCAAATGATGCAGCATTGCTTTGCTGGGTAATGCTGCTGTCATCATCACTGCATACGACGAGGAGCTCTGCATGTTGCTGATTAATTTCATATGGAATGCAGAGCAGGGCCCACGTTATCAGGGCAAAACATCCCGTCAACCCCCGGATATAAGCGCCACCCTGGGATAAGCGCCTGGCGCTTGTAATTGGCGTATGGTGCCTATATCCCCTCCTCGATTATAAGTGCATACCCGAATGGCTTACGGATTAAAAGAGCCACCATTTGTATTAGTTTTTATAAAGTTAATGGAATCTCTGTAGGGAAACACACTATTTGCATCATGACATTGAGAAATTTCGACACTTCACCCTCGCGCGACTTACTGCCTCACCCTCGCGCGACTCACTGACTCCGCGTCCAGTCAGAAAGAGCTGTCATGGGGCGAAATGACTCATTATGACTATGTGTGTTGGCAGCTTGCAAACTTCCGCGAGATTCTTGTTCACAACCCTCTATGATCTTGACTCGATTGAAATCGCAATGACAAGATGAACACTTTGGAGTGAAAACAACTAGATTTCATATATGTCATTATATAAGCCCCGGCGCTTATAAAAATCCTCGACTATAAGCCCACCCCCCTACAAAAACATGTTTTATTATATCCCCCCATGGGGGCTTATCCGGGGGGTGACGGTACCCTGAATTCAGGATGCAGTTTTGAATTTACCCTGTCATTTCATAATAGTGCCAATTTTCACCCTGAGGTCCCAGGATGTTTTTATATGCAATGCCCTGAACTCTCAGGATGGCCGTAGTGTTCCCCCCTGTAGCGTCAGGGGGGGGGGTTCGATCCCGGGGACTTTCGTCTCCGGTGATTCTTTCCCCCGTGTATGTTTCCCGCCTTCGCACGATCTCTTTGAGAGTTCTGTTCCGATCCCCCGCAACGCACCAGCCAAGACAAACCCATCAGACTAGGGGGAACAGGTTGGGCAAGGCAACTCGTCGTGTGCCATGCATGCACTAGCTGGGTGTCTCTCTGAGCACTCCTCCATCCAACCCAACCAACACTCTTTCTGTGTTGCTGTTTGAGTAGCACAAGTGAAGCTCGGCTGGCTCAGTCGTACTAGTCATGGCCAACGAGAACGATGGCGCGACGCCAGTATCACGAGGTCTTACCGGCTTAGATTTCTTGCGTCCTGTTCGAGCGGTGTCCACGTTACCAACGGCCTCACCTGCAGCTGGTTCATCTCGAACTCCCGCAGTCACACCCGCCCGGGCTAGTACGAACAGCACAAACGTTGTGCCACCTGGTATGACACGCATCGGCCCTGCCCCTAGTGCTAAATTAAGAGCTACCAAGCACAAACATTCGCGCTTGTCGTTCTCTCGCGAGAGTCCTACGGAACCCACCGTACGTATCCGCTTAGAACCAGCTGTACCAGGACCATCGGCCGTTCCTGCTGCATCTTCATCGACGGAGGAACTGCGCGATGAGGCAGAGGATAAATACCAGGAGGCGCTTATGAAGTACAAACGGGGATGGTCAACTGATTTCCCGTGGCTCGTGCTTTGTCAAACTTCCTTCGGTTTCCCATCAGAGAGGTGCAATTTGTGTATCAAGCACGCAGGACACGGCACAAACTACAGCGCTGCTGGCGAAGGAGCCGTCGACGTCCAAACCCAGGCGTTCCGCACGCATCAAAGCTCTAGGAAGCACAAACGGTCCGTCAAGAGACATGCCCTGGCGGAGCAGGCGGCTGAGAAGCAGCAGCGCATCGTCGACTGTCGAAAGGCCGGAGACATCCAGCGCGTAAGGGTCATCGCTCTGCTGGAGACCCTGCTGTTCATCCGCAAATGTGACGCACCGATTGAGATGTGGGTTCAATTAGTTCGGCACCTTGCAGAGCGACAGACACCTAACTTCCCGAAGAATGGCTACGGTGCTTATTACACTAGGTGAGCCGTTGATCAACAAATGCTGCTATACCCGAGAACCTTTGTATGGAGGTTGTGCACAACCTGATCACTGTTACTAACCCTCAGCTGGAGTACCTTGTTCCGTTTGATGCAGATACGGGTTTGCCGAGCTCATCGCAAGCACTGCAACATATCTCCGTGCTCGTCAGCAAGTCTGGTTGCAGTCTAGTCCATTCATCGGAGTTACCTGTGACGAGAGTACAGATCGTGTGCATGGCAAACACCAGACTGTGTTTGCCACGTTTCTCCGTGACTCTCGTGTAGTCACTGAGTTCATTGGTCTACTGACGGTGGAGAAATGCGATGGCGCTTCGTTGCTTTCCCTGTTGCTGACCCTACTTGACTCTCTTGGAATCGACATGAGCAGGGTGGTTGGGATTAGCACGGATGGCGCGGGTGCGATGATGGGTAGCACAAACGGCCTGGTGGCTCGGCTGCGTATAATGGTCCCGCACCTCTTCTCCAGCCATTGCGTTGCACATCGGTGAGTAATATTGATTGCCTGCGGGTGTTGTTTATACCTACCCATCACGTTGCGCAGAAAGTGGAAGGCAGGCAGACGCTCATATGATCTACCGCTCAGGCCATTCCCCACCCTTACTGTATCCCCCCTACTTTCCTGTCCCCCCCCCCCCCCCCCCCCCCCCCCCTCCCTCCCTCCCCGCTCCAGACTTGACGTTGATCTACTTCATATTCTCCTCGTGGACGGACAGCAATGGCCCGCATAAATAGTCGATGCAACTCCTCCCTCCGTAAACCAAACCTCCCCTTCACTCGTGCCCACACCGTGTCGTGCAGAGAGGCCCTGGCAGCCAAGGACGCCGCCACTGCAGTCCCTGAGCTGGGCCTGATCGACTACGTCCTGAAGGAACTTGCGGAATACCTAGGGAGGTCGCATCCCTCTCACAATGAGTTCCAGGAGCTGCATGAGGTGTTCTGCAAAACAAACCTTGAACTGCAGGGAATTCACTCAGTTCGTTGGCTGAGCCGCGGCGATGCCATCACGCGCTTGGTGCATGTTCTCCCTGCCGTCATCGTGCTCCTGTGGGAGTGGGACGACCACTGGTACCACATTGTGACTTCAGTGAAGTTCAATGTGTACCTTTACTACCTCACGGACATGCTCAACATCCTCAACACCCTCAACCTGGAGTTTCAGAGGTGGGAGGTGAGTAGCCTTTGTAAGCCGAAGACCATTGACTGTGCTCGTTGTACGGTCCTTGTAAAATCTGTACCTTGTCATGTTACAGGTCGACATGACATCGGTGCAGTCGACCGTGCGCCGCGCCCTGATCACCATCCGAACGCGCTACATCGAGTGCGGCGATGACTTCGGTGGCGGCCCACAGCTACACCTCGAGGCCTTCCTAGCCAGGCTCAGTAAGTCTCAGAAAATCACAGTGGCAGGTGTGGACAAGGAGGGGGAGAAGCGACAACACAGCTTTGAGCTGCACGAGGAGCCATTGACGGGCTACAGCAAGACAGCTGATGACCTGCAGTCGTGCCTCGACATATGCCGCCGCCATGCCAATTCGACGCTCACCCACCTCCAGAAGAGGCTGGGGGACCTTGAAAGCTTGAACGGTGTCCGGCCTTTTATGCCAGACACATACCCTGAAGACAAGGAGGGACGCGCAAAGGAGTGTCGCGAGCACTTCGAGACTCTCGTCAACTTGTTCCATGCCCGCGAGCGAGCAGACATCCTCCCGGGTAAGCACAAGTAGATTGTCTTACCCATTCTGCCAAGTTGTGTCCTTGCTCTGTGTACATCCAGCGCTTTTACTTGCTCTGCCCCTGCTTTGTGTTTAACCTGCTGGACTCCGTGTTCTGTCCCTGTTCTGTCCCTAACCAGGAAATTTCATGCTCCGTCCCATGGGAGCAGGTTGCCCTTGTGTATAACCAGAATCACAGGCTGCCCAAGGGAGCGGGCAGCACTGTGTATAACCAGAATCACAGGTTGCCCAAGGGAGCGGGCAGCACTGTGTATAACCAGAATCACAGGTTGCCCAAGGGTGCGGGCAGCACTGTGTATAACCAGAATCACAGGCTGCCCAAGGGAGCGGGTAGCACTCTGTATAACCAGAATCACAGGCTCTTCTGTCACTGTTATGTGTGTAATGCGAGGCAGGTGTGGACAAGCGTGCCGCCAAGAGGGAACTAAGGACATTTGTCCTTGTTCTGGCTGGCGCTCCCAAAGGCGAGCCCACATTTCAACGAGGACTGGCGGCCATGCTGCGAAAAGGACTGGGAGCGGAGCTACCCCAACCTCGTCCGCCTCTAGACAGCGGTGGCTATTCTGCCGCTCAGCACCGTCGAGTGTGAGCGCGACTTTAGCCGCCAGAACGTGATTAAGTCCTGGCAGAAGACCAGCCTCTGTGATGCTAGGCTCAGTGACTTGATGTGCCTGAGCCTAACTGATTACGACATGGAATGGGGGAAAGTTGTGGATTTGTGGCGCAGCAGCAAGAAGAGGAGGCCTACTAAGCGAAGGGAGCAGCAGAGGAAGGCGGGGAAGGGGAACGTCTTGGAGGACGGACAAGACGCAGATAGTGAACATGGCAGCAGCAGAGACAGTGGGTTTAGTAGCAGCAGCGATGATGATGATGAGGAGGAGGGCTAAGAGGTGGTGCAGGGGTTAATTGAGTAGTAAAACACCTACTATATGTGTGATGCAGCTGCTCTGCTCTGCTCTGCATCACAGAGTCTGGTCTTTGTCTGTGCTAAAATCTGAACCCTGAACACTATAGTTTTTGCCCTGACAGGTCAAGATTAGTTTCTGCACAAGCCCTGAACATACAGGAAGGCTTGGAAAATTTGCCCTGACAAATCAGGGCATTTTTTAAGATTCCAGAAAAGTGCCCTGAAGGCTCAGGATGCCCCAAATCCTAGCATGGGCCCTGATGCAGAGTAGTGCGAATTAGATGTCATAGTGTGTCTTTTGAGTGTAAGAGCGTATTCCTACGCCTCTTATCAAGCAACCTACTATCAGTCTCCCACTGAAAATTCCAATAAATCCAAAATCTCTTGCTAGTTTTACCAGGCGTTTAGGGTTCGCTTGATACGAGGTTCACTTGATACAAGGTGTAGGAAAACCGCTCTGATTAGTGCAATGCACAAGAGTGAAATCGCTCGCTATGAAGTTAAGGTATTGATAACAGGGGCCTTGGAAAAATGGAAAATTTGTAAGCGTTTATCGCTTTCAAATTTGCTTATTGTGAAAGTGAAGCTGATTGTAACGCAATTTTGTGCATCGTCGAAGAGCGGCACTCGCCTTCTCCGAATATATAATGTGAACTGGGGTGATTCTTCCCCCACCCATGTCTCTCATTTTTACAATCTCTCAAGTTCAATTCCCACCCACCCTCCCCAGGCTAGTCATCTTTGGATAGTAGTAGTTCTTAAACATTTTGTATTTGACAGTACATCCGTATTATTGCTAGAAACTACTTGAGCCCATTGTAATGAGAACAATGCCAATTGCTACAGAAGCAAGCTTTCTCAATTGAACAATTGGCCGCTTCACTGCGCCATCGGCCTAGCTGTTTGAAGAGCCGGTCCTCAATTCCTGCGTTTGCCGCTACATTTGCCGCTCCTTTGCGAAAGGAGTAAGTGCCGAGCGCGTGGTCGCCGAGGCCGACGGCGTGGAAAGCTTCCTTGCACCAATTGCGTATTGTGGTATACAATGGTGGTTTGACTGGGAGTGAGTCGCTCGTGGCCAAACCAAACACTCGGGTTAATGGCCCTGGTGTGGCAGGACCATATCCTGCCAGTTGGATGAAGCGCTTGGTGCATCGAACGAGGTAGAAGGGTCCCTTCCCTGGCTTGCGGCAATAGGCACCCATGAGCCCTTCCCCTCTTGGTCGGTCTTCGAGCGCGGGATGAGTAGCCACATGGCATCGTCTTCAAACTGGATATCGTTCCAGCAGATGGCGGCGAGATCCGAATACCGAAGGAAGCCGACGTACATGAGAAGCAGTATGAGTCATTTTTGAAAGGTGGATGGGTCGTCCGAGCTAATGAAGTGTGCGGCCATGGCGTGCACTTGGTGAAGAGACACCAGTTCTTTGGTTTGGTGGGGCCGAGGGCAGTGGCGTTTGGCAAATTCTCGGACTTGAGATGTCATTGGGCCGATGTTAGGGCAGGCGGCCCCAATCATACGGTGGGCAAAACCAACCGCCGAGCAAGTGAGTTGCACCACTGAGAAGGTGGCTTCGTGGCGAATGGTATAGACGAGGTACAGCGCGAGTGTCATATCTTGTGCGGTCAGGAATGGTAATTTAGTCTTGATGCAGAATGAGCGGAACTGCTGCCAGTATGGTTCGTAAGTCTTGACCGTAGATTCCGCACGCATTTGCAGCATCATTGTGAGCAATTGGCTCTGCAGCGAGCGGAGTAATCCTGAAGCGATTAGAGAGGACGCAAGCGATGCGCAAGGCCATCATCATGCTATGGGGGAGGCCGGAACCCGAGAATGCTGTGGTGTGCATGCCCGGTGCGAGGCATTGACTTCCGTGAGTAAGTTTCAGGCAATCACGGATCGGCGAGGCCCAGGCGGGTGGCGAGGGTTGGAGAATTGGCCATCAACTAGCCCCGGGCCAGAAGGGAACAATGAGAGTCAGTGAGGCTGATGTCCTTTGCGCGTGGTGAAGGACTGCCGGGATCAATTGTGGTGGTGGAAAAGCGAAACCATGTTCGTCAGCCCAGAATGTTGCAAAGGCATTGATTGCTAATGCCTTGGGATGTGGGTGTTTGCAGTAGAATCGGGGGAGCTTGGCATTCGCAACACTGACAAAGAGATCTATAAAGTGCGGCCCCCAACGTCGCTCGAGATGATTAAACCATGGGGCCTTCAAGGTGTAGTCATCTCGGTCGAGAGTCTTCGAGAGCTCGTCCGCGAGCGTGTTAAGCTCGCGAGGTATCCATTCCATGATCAAGCGAATGCGACGAGTCATGCAGGTGCGGATGATGGCTTTGCATGCGGTAGTGAGAAAGCTGTTGCGTGATCCACCCTTTTTTAGAATAAAGAATACGCCCTGGTTGTCGACACGCACGAGCACATGCTTGTTTTGGATGAAGCTGGTGAAAGTTTGCAGTGCCCGGAGCACCCCTTCTAGCTCACGACGAGTACTGGACGTGCCAAGTAGTTCCGGGGGCATGTTCGCGCAGGCCTTATGAGTCGTCGTGGAGAATGTGTCGAGTGTGGCCCCCCAGCTGTGCGCATTGTGATGCCCTAGAGGACAGGCAGTTTGAGCTGGAGTTCTTGGCAGTCGCTTCCCCTCATCTCTATGCCATGCTGCTCGCCCGTGAGGGAGACCCCGACGCCCTTGACATGCCGACTCCTCACACTTACGCTGAGGCAGTGTTAGGGCCTTGGGCCTCTCAGTGGAGAGCTGCCACGGACACAGAGATGGCCTCCTACAGATCCACAAGCACCTACGTCGACGAGGTTCCCCCCCTTGGGGCGAACGTAGTCGATGGCATGTGGATATACAGGGTGAAACGGCCACCAGGATCTCCTCCGGTCTTCAAGGCACGCTACGTGGCTAGAGGTTTCAATCAGTGCGAGGGAGTTGACTTCTTTCAGACCTTCGCGCCTACCCCGAAATGACCAATCTTCGGGTGTTACTTCACGTAGCAGCACAGAGAGACTACGAGTTACACTCTCTCGACTTCTCCATTGCTTTCCTCTAGGGTAGCCTACACGCGGAGGTCTGGCTTCGTCGTCCCTCTGCCTTCACTGGCACTTTCCCTCCTGGAACCCAGTGGAGGGTGAGGCGACCGGTCTACGGTCTCCGTCAGGCTCCTCGTGAGTGGCACGACACCCTTCATTCTACCCTGTCTCACCTTGGTTTCCAGCCGTCTTCTGCCGACCCGTCGGTGTTTGTTCGTCGTGGCTCCACACCGTTCTTTGTTCTGGTCTACGTCGACGACCTGGTTTTTGCCACTGCTGACAGGGTTGCCTTGGCAAACGTGAAGCCCGAACTGCAGAGACGTGGACAGGCTCGTTTCGAGTTTGTGGAGTCCAAGGCCAACACTGCTGACATCTTCACCAAGGCGCTTCTGCCTTGTGACCAACAGAGGTGTTGTGTGCAGTTAGGTTTTGTTGATATAGGTTCTCGTCTTGTGTAGACTTGAGTTATCTACTTGCTTTGCTTATACACTTTGCTCATATCTTTGTGAACTCTTGCACTGGCCTTATGGTCTCTTTTGTTTGTGCTCAAAGTGTGTGGTGATGTTGTGATCCACCCTGAGCCTTGTTTCTTTGTGACTGGTCTTGTGTCTGTACACTTTTGGTTTTGCTTGACTCCCCTCACTTAGACTATGGGAGTGTGTCAAATGTTTTAGTCTTAGTGATGTGTGTCATAGGGGGTACAACTCTTAGGGTTAGGTTTATGTACCCCAACCAACATTGTGAATACAACACTTTCGTTCTTGACACCAATATAGACGAAACAGGGATACACAGCTGCTCGCGAAGACACTGTACATTGTGCACACCAATCCCTCACAGGTTCGGTGTTGCAATCGTGGCGCGTCCTTAGGTTGGGCACAGGCCTGGATGCCCGAAGCCCGAATGCTATGCGAGACAGCTTCGGGAGGCGAGGTCTTTGAGCCAAGCCTGTCTTCCTAAAATTGTTGCTGTCCGAGGTGTAACATATACCCAGTAAAAAGTGGAAATCATTTACAGAGCAATGTCCAATATCAGAAACATTTTGGTTGTACACAATCAATAGCACTATGGTGTTGCAATTTGGAAGTGCATAATCAACCGTTATTGATCATTGTCATCTCCCTCAACACCTCGAGCCAGCGAGCTCTAGCTGCTGCTGCATCCTCCCCTACCTCTCCCCTTCCATTGCTCTCCCCCCCTGCCTCTGCTCCTCTTGCTGCTTGCTCCACTGCTTTCTGCAGCAGAAGGAACCTGCATGCAGAGAGTGACATGAGAGTAGGAAGGATGTGAGACTGGTGAGGAGATTGACAAGAGAGTAACAAGAGCTAACAAAAGAATTGTAACCAAAGAGAGTAACAAGCTAACAGATGCTTCTGCTCTTGAGATGACTCATAGACGTGTCAGAAGTCAACAGGTGCTGCTGTTCTTGAGATGAATTCGAGATGGATCCACGTAGGCCAAGCCGGCAGGAACGCCAATATGTACTTTTCTGTGCCAGGGTGTTTTAGAGAATTCTCAAAAACACCCTAGGCCAAGCCAGCAGGAACGTCAACATGTGCTATTCTGTGCCTGCTCGCGCAAACCAGCTTTTCTCACCTCTTTCCACTCCTTCTCGTCACCTCCTTTCTCACTCTCCTCACCCCGCCTTTCTGCCTCTCCTCACTCGTCACCTCCTTCTCACCTCTACTCACCCCTTCTCACCCCTTCTCACCCAGTGCATGCTCACCTCTCTTCACTCCCAAGGGCATCTGCCAGGGGTATCCACATGCCAATGGCCGCCTCATCGCCCCTCATAGCCCCCCCCATAGCCTCCTCCATCCCCTCCCTTCTCACCACCTCCCACATCTCCCCCACCACTCTCGCCGCCTCACTCCATTGGTCGAGAGAAGAGTGGGCGGCGGAGAGGAGAGAGAGGAGGGGGAGGGAGGCGGTGTGGGAGGGGCCGAGGAAGGAGCGGAGGGAGGGGAGGGCGGAGAGGAGGATGGGGAGGGCCTCGTTGGGGCGGCGGAGGGAGAGGAGGAGAGAGGCGAGGTCCGTTGCTGTGCCTGGGAGGGGGGGAAATGAGGAAAAGGGAATGGGGCAAAAAGGAGGAGAGGAGTGTGGGGGATGAAAGGGACTGGGAAGCCATGTCATTTACAAAAGGAAATGGAAGGGCCTGGGAAGCCATGTCATTTGCAAAAGGAAATGGAAGGTTAACACAAGAGGAAAACAAGAAGGGGAGCGTGGAGAGCAGGATGGGCATAGCAGGAACCCTCACACGAGATGTTCCCTCTTCCTCTCCTCACACAAGATGTTCCCTCTTCCTCTCCTTCTAACTCACCCACAGCCGAGTTGACTTTTGAGTCGACTCAAAAGTCAAGGAACCCTCACACAAGACGTTCCCTCTTCCTCTCCTTCTAACTCACCCACGGCCTGCAGCAAGTGGGCGGGGTGGCCCCTTCTGATGCCCAGCGCTCGAAATAAGTGATTTTTTGAGACGTCTCAAAGATTCACTTATTTCACGTGGCCGAGATTTGAGTCAACTCAAAAGTCAACTCAAAAGTCAACTCAAAAGTCAACTCAAAAGTCTTCACGCAGCCTGCAACAAGTGGGCGGGGTGTTACCTTCTGATGCTCAGCGCTCGTTGCAGCAGAGGAACGGCCATGTCATAGCAGTCGGTGCGTTTGAGAAGATCGAGCAGTCCAAAAATAAACACAATACCTTCCCCCAATGACTCACCCACGGCTTGAAGCAGATGGTCCGGGTGCTCCTTTCTGATACCAAGCGCCCGTTGCAGCAGAGGCACGGCCATGCCACAGCGGTCGGTGCGCTTGAGATGCAGAGCGACGTGGGCGAGCGCTGCCGCTGCCTCCTCGCTGCGCTGGTGCGCCGCTGGCATGGCTGCCAGTACCTTGATCGCTCTCTTGCTCACTTTCTGGTCGTGGGATAGAGAGAGGTTAAGAGGGGTAATGTGGAGTGGATATAGCGAGTAACGCAAACAATCTGAGTGGGAGGGCGCTTTTGTCTCCCACCCAACCGCCCGCTCAAACCCCCCTGCCTCACCTGACCACATCGCAGTTCACCTCTTTGCACCCAAGTTCCAACCGCCTGCCTCACCTCTGCCTCCATCGCCCGCCATATCTGCAATACACATCAGCAGCGCACGTATATGTCCTCGCCACAGCAGGCATCTTTCTTGCTAGTTTTCCTCGCCTCACCTCACCTCACCACACCGCACTGCACCGCATTGCACTGCATCTCACCTCTGCCTCCTCCGCCTGCCCTATCTGCCAGTACACATCAGCAGCGAGAGCATACGTCCTCGCCACAGCAGGATGGTCCTTCCCCAGCTCCTCCCCCTGCACTGCCACACACTGCTTCAGCGCTTCCAGCGCCAACACTGCCATATCCATCGCCTCCTCTCTCACCTCCCCTCCCTCTGCTCCTCCCTCATAACTTCCCTTTACTCCTCCTCCTCCTAATCGTACACCCAGTCCTTCCCCTTGCTGCTCTCTGCTGTCACTCTCCTCCGCAATCTCTGCCTCCTCACCCCCCATCTCTTCCCTATTCACGCGCCCCCCCTCCTCCCCCCCCTCCCCCATCTCTCCCCCCTCTTCTCCCTGCAGCAGCCCGGAGTGCAGGATGATGTCAACAGTGGCGAGGTGCACAGAGGCGAGGTCGAGAGGGGAGAGGGCGGAGGGGGCGGAGGGCGAGGAGAGGAGGGAGGAGAGCAGGGCTGCTGCTGCGGATAGGTGGTGGACGGCGGGGGAGGCGTCGCCTTGACCCGCAAACACTGCTGCTAACAGGCTTAGGGGGGGAAAGAGGCAGCAAAGGAAGGAACGGGAAGCAAGAAAATCCTTGATAAGCCGACAACTCCTCCTTGATAAGCCAACACCTCCTTGATAAGCCAACTCACCGGTGATCTGCCACCTCCTTCATCACAGCCTCCTCATACTCCCTCCTCACCTCCTCCCTCCCCCTTCCCTCCAACTCCTCTCTCACTCTCTCCCTCAGCTCCTCCCCCTTCACCCCTCCTCCCTCCTCACCCCTCCCCTCCCCACTCCCCTCCTCCCCTCCCAACCTCTCCTCCAAGCCCCTCCTGTGCGTCTCATGCAGCTGTAGCGCGCGCATCCCCATGGCATGGGCATCGCCTAGCCGCATGTGCCGCGCACACTCCTCCCCCACGTGCTGCAGCGCATCCGCTACTCGTGGGTCCTCCGAGCCCAGTGCTTCCTCTTGTAGCTCGAGAGCAGTCCTGGACGGGGTGACAGGAGGACAGACAGAGGAGGGTCAACGCACACTCCTCCACCACGTGTTGCAATGGGTCAGCCACTCGTGGGTCATCTGCACCCAGTGCCTCTCCTTGCAGCTCGAGAGCAGTCCTGGAGAGGGAAGGAAATGCACGAGGACGGAGGGAGAGGGTAAACGCACACTCCTCCCCCACGTGCTGCCTTTTGAGGCGCCTCTGTCTAATCTTTGATACCACATGTCACATACCTAAACAGCCTCAGACACTGCAAGGATCTTTTTAGAATTCTCAGGGATTTTTTTTAGAATAAAAAGAAATAACGTCTAATCTTTGTTACCACATGTGGCATACCTAAACAGCCTCAGACAGACACACGTGTTGCCCACCTGTACGCCTTCAGTGCAGTGTCCATGTCCCCCCTCGCACTGCTGACGTCAGCTCGCAGCATGTGCATGGCAAACCCCACCATGTGGATGGCATCGGCTGTCCCTTGTGCCATCGCTGCTGCTGCTGCTGCTGCGTCTCCCCCCTCCCCCTCCCCATCACCACCCTCTACCCTTCCACACTCTCCTCCTCTGCTACCCACACCTCCCCCACTCTCCACCCCTGCAACTCCATTCCTTGACCCGCAGCTCTCCCCCCCATCTGATCCTATTTCCTGCTCAGTCCCAGCTACGTCTTGCTCTTGCATGAGGCTCTGAAGCTTCTTGGCAGCTTCCAGCGCTGCTTCGCACTGCACTAGGAGTGAGAGACACTCGTCTGGGTTACCGAGCCTGTTGGAGCAACAGGGGGGAGAGGGGGAGGGAGGAGGGATGAGGAAGAGGAGGATCGAGACAACGAGCAGCAAGAGAGCAGATAAAAGTGCTAGGTGACTTTTGAGTCGACTCAAAAGTCACTCAAAAGTCAACGAGCAGCAAGAGAGCAGATAAAAGCGCTGCACTTGCACTGCAAGACGAGGGAGAGACACTCGTCAGGGTCGCTGAGCCTGTGGGAGCAATGGGGGGAGGAGGAGGGAGAAGGAGGGAGGAGGGAGGAGGAAGGAGGAAGAGGAGGATTGAGACATGGACAGCATGAGAGCAGAGCAAGGTGCCTCTCTTACACTGCACGACGAGGGAGAGGCACTCGTCGGGGTCGCCGAGCCTGTGGGCGCAATTGGAGGATGAGGGAGGGGAAAGGGGGTTGGGTGGGGAGTGATGGAGGGAAAGAAGAGATTCCCACAATATCACCTCATTGTTACAAGGCGTGCGGTCACATCTCACCTCATTGTTACAAGGCGTGCGGTCACATCTCACCTCATTGTTACAAGGCGTGCGGTCACATCTCACCTCATTGTTACAAGGCGTGCGGTCACATCTCACCTCATTGTTACAAGGCGTGCGGTCACATCTCACCTCATTGTTACAAGGCGTGCGGTCACATCTCACCTCATTGTTACAAGGCGTGCGGTCACATCTCACCTCATTGTTACAAGGCGTGCAGGTCACATCTCACCTCATTGTTACAAGGCGTGCGGTCACATCTCACCTCATTGTTACAAGGCGTGCGGTCACATCTCACCTCATTGTTACAAGGCGTGCGGTCACATCTCACCTCATTGTTACAAGGCGTGCGGTCACATCTCACCTCATTGTTACAAGGCGTGCGGTCACATCTCACCTCATTGTTACAAGGTGTGCGGTCACATCTCACCTCATTGTTACAAGGCGTGCGGTCACATCTCACCTCATTGTTACAAGGCGTGCGGTCACATCTCACCTCATTGTTACAAGGCGTGCGGTCACATCTCACCTCATTGTTACAAGGCGTGCGGTCACATCTCACCTCATTGTTACAAGGCGTGCGGTCACATCTCACCTCATTGTTACAAGGCGTGCGGTCACATCTCACCTCATTGTTACAAGGCGTGCGGTCACATCTCACCTCATTGTTACAAGGCGTGCGGTCACATCTCACCTCATTGTTACAAGGCGTGCGGTCACATCTCACCTCATTGTTACAAGGCGTGCGGTCACATCTCACCTCATTGTTACAAGGCGTGCGGTCACATCTCACCTCATTGTTACAAGGCGTGCGGTCACATCTCACCTCATTGTTACAAGGCGTGCAGTCACATCTCACCTCATTGTTACAAGGCGTGCGGTCACATCTCACCTCATTGTTACAAGGCGTGTGGTCACATCTCACCATCAAAACTTCCGTTCACATGCGGCCATGACATGCAGACACGAGCAGAGCAAGGTCGTGATATATCAACCCATCATGCCATCCATCCATCACCCCATCACACCATCATCTGACAGAGGCATGGCTATGTCATGCGATATAGCCCCATCACACCATCACCCAACCACCCATCACCCATTACAGCATCACCTAGCATGGCATGTGGCCATGAGGTGCAGGCACATATCATTGTCATTGCCAATAATGTCACCTCATCATGCAATCATGCCATCATGCCATTGTGCAATCATGACATCATGCCATCACACCATCGTGCCATCAATCATGTCATGATGCAATCATCTCATCGTGCCATCATGCCATCGTGCAATCGTGCCATCACTCCTTTATGCCATCATGCCATCACTACACCATGCTATCATGCCATCACTACACTATGCTATCATGCCATCACTACACCATGCTATCATGCCATCACTACACCATGCTATCACATCATCACCTGGCATGGCATGCGGTCATGAGGTGCAGGCACATGGATGACATGTGGTATGACCCCCATCATGCCCCCATGCCATCATAGCCCATCACACATCATCACCTGGCATGGCATGCGGCCATAAGATGCAGGCACATGATGCCATGCGACATAACCCCGTCATTCATGCCATGCCATCGCACAAGCACCCAACCCAACACCCCATCACACCATCACCTGGCGTTGCATGCGGCCAAGAGGTGCAGACACATGGCTGACATGTGATCTGATCCCATCATGCCACCATGCCATCACACCCCATCACAGCATCACCTGACATGGCATGAGGCCATGAGGTGCAAACACACGATGCCATGCAACATAACCCCGTCAGTCATGCCATGCAACATAACCCCGTCAGTCATGCCATGCAACATAACCCCGTCAGTCATGCCATGCCATCGCACAAGCACCCAACACCCCATAACCCCATATCACCTGGCATGGCATGCGGCCATGAGGTGCAGGCACATGGCTCGCACGGGATCCCCATCCATGGCCATGGCGTCAAACACCTGATGGTGGTGCCATGGGATGGAGGGGGGGAGGGAGGGAGGGACGGAGGGACGGAGGGACGGAGGGAGGGAGGGAGGGAGAGTCATGGGCAGCAAGGGTTCAGGGTTGAAGGCACATGGCTCGCACGAGATCCCCATCCAGGGCAACGCCGTCAAACACCTGGGGATGCCATGCGGGGGAGGGTGGGTCATGTGGAATAAAGGTTCAAGGTCTGAGTTTCAGGGTTTGGGAGGGAGAGTCATAGCAACGGTGCCAAAGACGTGGTGGTGCCAGGGAAGGGAGGGTCATGCACAGCCAGGGTTCAGGGTCTAAGGTTTTGGGTCTGTGGTTGGGGTTAAGATTAGGTTTGAGGTTAGCATTCGGATTTTAGGTTTCGTGGGGTCGTTGTTTGGGGTTTTGGGGTTTCAGTGTGCAAGAGCATAAAGGATTCAAGGACAAGCCACAGATGTTGATTGTATTTTGACTGGATATGCCAGTTCAATGTCATGCCCTGCAGATAGACAGCACCTCCCCCACATCTCACCTCCCATGCCTTCTCCACCACAGATAGCACCTCCCCCGCGTCCCGCCCCTGCTGCAGATACGCCTGCGCCAGTCGCAGTCTGAGCCCCGCCACCAGCTCGTGCCTCTCGCCGTAGGCCTGCCGCGCATCCTCCACCACCCCCTCCAGCACCCTCACCGACACGTCCTCCGAACCTAAATCCGAGCCTGAATCTGAGCCTGAATCCGAATCCGAACCTAGATCTGACCCTAGATCCGATCCTAGGTCTGATTCTAGTCCGCCCGCGGCCTCGCCCCTGCCGCCAACACTCCCGCCGCTGCCGCCACCACTGCCGCCATCACTGCCGCTGCCGGCGCTGCCACTGCTGCCGCCTGCGGAGGCGGCGCTAAAGGCGCGAGCATACGGCGAGCTGACCGCGAGCGGTGTGGGGTGATGATGAGGGGCGGAAAGTCGAGAAAGAGGTGTAAAGCGCGGCGCAGAGTGGTACCGCTGGGTGAGTGTTGATATGGATGTGGAAGGTGATGGCTCGGCGGACAGCGTGGCAACGCCAGGCTGGCTGACAGCCTGGCAGCAGATCTGCGGCAGCGCGTCAGTGAATCGTCCTACGTGGTGATCGACGCAGCGGCTGGTCGGACGTGCCGCGTCTACCTTTCGGCTAGCAGGCGGAACGAGCAACGGCTCTGCCGGCCGATTTCCGTCAGCCGCCGTGACGGCCCCCGCGCGGGGCTGCAGTGCGCCGAGCCGGGGAGCGGCATGGCACTGCGTGAAGAGATGGAGAAGGCGAGGCGCGCGGGAGTTGCGCACACGATGCATGCGCGCGGACTGGTGGCGGACGACTACGGACGGGGCGGATGACTGCGCGGATGGGGCGGACAGCGCGAACGGGGAATGCGCGGACGGGCCTGACGGGAGAGACTGCTTGCGCTTCAGGCGGAAAGTAGAAAACGAGGTTCAGCGCGAATGGACTCGTTATGGCTGGGGAAGTGTGGGCCCGGCGCAGCGCGTCAGGACGTAGGATGGAATGGGGGATTCAGGCAGTGCGTTTTGACCCTGGCATTACACCGCAATAAAGCGTTCTGTTCCCATTTCGGCTCGGTTCGGGCTGATCGAAGTACATTAATGTGACAGTTCGTGATATGTAAATAACTAAAACTTGTGCCCAGATTCCAAATTACAAATCTACACTTCTGCATCAGAGGTGAAAATCAATGGTTAGAATCTTACGAGAATTGACCACCTTTATAAACTCTTTTAACACAGAAATAAAAGCACAGGCAGAAATGTTACTACATCCAACCCTAGCCAAACGGACACCTAAAATTGCAGATCCACTCCACCGCACACTCAGCTCTGCAACGGCGTGGCAGGAGTCCCAGTTCTCATCCTCAGATACGGTACTTGAGCAGCTTGCAGCATCTGCACAGCTTGGGCAGCTGGGCAGCGTGCAGCATCTGCACAGCTTTGGCAGTTCTTGTGTTGCAGATACTTGAGCAGCTCGCAACCTAGGCTAGACGCAAAAGACGAACGACTGCACAACCCATCACTCAAGAACTAAGATTGCAGGTCCACTCTGTCGCGCAGCCCCAGCTCTGCAATCACATGGCAGTACGAGTCCCAGTTCTTCCGCCGCAGGTACTTGAGCAGCTTGCGCCGCCGTGCCAGCATTCCATCCAGACCCCGCCGCGAGTGCAGGTCCTGTGGGCAGGGAAAAGAGAGGGGGCAATGACTTAGATAGTGACTTGACCCTCCTCTTCCGCCCAAGGCACTTGAGCAGCTTGCGCCGCCGCGCTAACATTCCATCCAGACCCCGCCGCGAGTGCAGGTCCTGTGGGCAGGGAAAAGAGAGGGGGCAATGACTTAGATTGTGACTTGACCCTCCTCTTCCGCCCAAGGCACTTGAGCAGCTTGCGCCGCCGCGCTAACATTCCATCCAGACCCCGCCGCGAGTGCAGGTCCTGTGGGCAGGGAAAAGAGAGGGGGCAATGACTTAGATTGTGACTTGACCCTCCTCTTCCGCCCAAGGCACTTGAGCAGCTTGCGCCGCCGCGCTAACATTCCATCCAGACCCCGCCGGGCCGCCGTGAGTGCAGTGCAGGTCCTGTAGGCAGGGAGAGAGAAGCGGAGTGTTTGCTTGTGCCACAACCTCCAGAGTGCAAAGCATGAGAGAAGGAAAAGAGGTGCTGAGTGCATATGCTGAAGAAAGGGGGCAGCGTGTTTGACTGTGGCACGACTGTTCGGTATGCAGAGCATGAAATAAGGAAAAGAGGTGAGTGCATGTCCTGAAGAAATAGCGAAGATATGATGAGTTTGCAGGTCCTGAAGAAAAGAGAGAATATGTTTGATCGTCACACGACTCTCCAATGAGTGTTCACTGTGCAAGGCAGAGACGGCATCACAGGTGCATTCATGTGATGATAATGCTTGCTCGCAAGCCCAGGGGGCAACGTGACTTGACAGGCACACACCTTCTTGTGTGTTTGCAGGTGCTGGGCCATGTAGGCAATGCGCGAGGTGAGCAGAGCAACTGTTGGTTACAGGCAAGCACAGGGAGGGTGGCAGAGCCGGGTGAATGCGGGAGAGGGGATGGGAGATAGGGGGATGGGAGATAGGGGGATGGGAGATAGGGGGATGGGAGATAGGGGGATGGGAGATAGGGGGATGGTGAAACTGGGATGAAATCTGGGACAGTTTGTTGAATGGGCTGTAGGAAACATGGCTGTCGATATAAAACAGGAGAACAATCTAGCTCACTCATGCACCAATCAATTCCTTCTTCCTGTAATAAATCTCTCACTCCCTCAGTTGCACCTACAGTCTCTCACTCGGGTCGGGTACCCTCCCTCTATCCCTTTGTAGCCAATATCCCACTCTTGCACTCTGTTTAGACCGCTTGTTCACTCCCCCACTCACTTCCTCATTCCCTCCCTCACTCACTCTGCATTGCGCTCAACCCCGTGTCCCCTTCGTGCACTTTGAACCGCTCCTTCGTTCCCTCATTCACTCCCTCACTTCCTCACTCACTCCCTCACTCGATCCCTCACTCACTCCCTCACTCGATCCCTCACTCTCTCCCTCACTCACTCTGCACTTCACTGGACCCTCTATCCCCCTCGTGCACTCTGATCGGCTCCTTCACTTCCCCTTTCGATCAAATTTTCTCCCACTCTCTCCTGCTCACTCTCCCACTCACTCCCTCTCTCACTCACTCTGCACTTCACTGGACCCTGTGTCCCCCTCATGCACTCTGAACCGCTCCTTCACTCCCTGCAGCTCCTCCTGCCGCCGCTCCTCTGCTGACAGCAACGACGGATGCACGTACTGGGGGGGATGGGAAGATGGGGAGATGAGGAGGAAAGGGATGAGACATGAAGGAGGGGTTGGATGTGCAAAATGAAGGGGGGGTTGGATGTGCAAAATGAAGAATTCATGTTTTCTAGGCTCCACCGGCGGCCGCTCCTCTGCTGACAGCAGCGATGGTTGCACTGGGAGGTGGAGGGAAAGGGGGGGAAGTGACCAAGTTTTGTTACTGCCTTGGCTCCCTGCAGCTCCTCCTGCCGCCGCTCCTCTGCTGACAGCAGCTATGGATGCACGTACTGGGGAAGGAGGGAAGGGAGGCGCAACCAAAACGACCGGGGGGGCATGAGCAGGTACAGCTACTGCCTTCGCTCCCTGCAGCTCCTCCTGCCGCCGCTCCTCTGCTGACTGCAGCGATGGTTGGACGTACTGGGGGTAATCGGGTGAGAATGGGGGGTAATTGGGGAGACACAGGAGAAAAGGGGCGGGGGTGGTAATGGGGGAGACGGGGGGGTGGGGAAGGTGGGGTGTGAGAAGGTGGTTAAGGGGATGCACACAGAAGACCAAGGGACCGACGTGAGGAGGTTCCGTTACTGTTTCTCCCCGTTTTCCAATCCACCTCCCCCCATGCCTCCCGCTCCTCCCTCTTTCAGTGCTCCCTCTTCCGTTGGTGGGAAAGTGAGAGAAAGGAGGGCGGGTTGTGTAATGGGGGAGAAGGGGGGGGGGGGGGGGGGGGGGAAAGGGGGGGGGGGGGGGAGGTGGGGTGTGAGAAGGTGGTTAAGGGGATGGACAAAAAAGACCAAGGGATGGACGTGAGGAGGTCACAAGTCCGCGTCCCTAGACCTTCCAACTCCGCCCATCCCGTTTCCTTTTGCCACGTGCCATTGAGCCCCAAAAAGCCATCCCTCCATTCCTTCGGGCATCCCTTCCTGCATCCCTTCTTACATCCCTTTTCCACTCCGTACCCGCCACCCACAACCCTCTTCCACCCAGCCCCCCACTCCCCATAAGGCAGCAAGCAGCACCTTTCCCAGCAGGCTTGATTCGGCCGCCAAACCGAACCTCCCAACCATTCCACTTTCTCCCCAACGCTCCCAAGTCCCTTCTCCTCGCTCCAGCCCTCCCCACCCGCATCCCCTTCCCCCATCATTTCCCCCCATTCCCGCAGGTCAGCACCTTATCCAGAAGATCCAGCTTCGGCCGCGCCACAGGCGGGCGCGGGCGGAAGTTCCGCCCAAACCCCCGCGGGTCCCGCCCGTACAGCCGCTGATCCCCATAGCCTCGCGCGCCCTCTCCGTGCATCCGCGCTTCCCCTCGCCCTTGCGCGTCCCCCCGCGCCTCCCCGTCTGCTCCGCTCCCCGCCTCAGATCCGCCCGTAGGGCCCACGAAGGGTGGCGGAGTGAGGTCGGGTGCTGCGAACCATGATCGCAGACGCGGCAGAAGTGGTGACTGTGCGACGTCGCCTGCGACGGCTGGCGACGAGGGAGTGGAGCCTGCTGGCGATGGAAAGGTAGCGACGGGTGAAAACAAAACAGGCGGGAGATGAGGAATCGACGTGAAAGAGACAATCGAGCAGGATTAAGGACGAAATAAAGAACGAGCAGATGCTATTAAACCCATCCGCGTTTTAGGCACCTGTGTTGGGCTCTACGCCGACAAAAGAAGAAGAATGGAAGCGCGAGAGCCCAGCAGCAGGACCGGCCACACGCAGCGGCTCGGAATGAGGCGACGAAACGGAGGGAGGAAGATCGGACGCGGAACAGAGAATGCTTGCGATGCGCTGCGAAAGCTGCGAATCGAACAGCGACCCGGACGCACACACGCCGCGAGAAACGGCGGAACGGCAGCGCACGGCAGCCATGATTGAGGTACAAGTACAAATTGCAGAATGTGTTCAAAATACTGAATAGCTATAAGGAAATTCCCTTTTCCTTACTTCGCGTCCCTGCTCAACGCGTACATCACTGTAGCACCTCAGTCAGCACCGTTACCACTCGCGACCATCGCATCATTCATCATCCCGCCCTTTTCGCACATCGCATCCCGACCTCACGGCTCGGCTGGTAACCCGCGCTCCGGACCTACGCTTCGACACTTTCCCAACCTCAGTCCCAGGCTCGTCGCGCGACCATTACCGTTACCACTGTAGTTTCGCTATATAATGTTCGCTCATGCCTTCGCTCATTTGTATTCTTGCTTCGATAGTGCAATTCTCGTTCGTCCACTCAATTGCACTCGTAACACTTGGTATTCAGAGCCTACGATCTCATCTCGGACCGCATCCACACCTTCGCTTCCCACTATCTCAATTTTTGGGGGGGGTAGACGTCTCTCAGCGACACAGCACCGCCGCTCGTAGTGCTCTCTCGAAAGCACGCACGGCCACGACCGAGGCTCTCGCTGAGCTTGCCCGACACCCCCGCCATGGCCGATTTCAATCTCGCCACGTTGACGCAGGAGCAACTCGATCGTCTCGTGCGTCAATTGGAGGATTCGGCGCTCGAAATCGCGACTCTCACGGCGGAACGTGACTCCGCCCGTCAACAGTCAATGGTGAACGTACCGACGACATCACACGCACCAACCAATGCATCTGCACATTCGGAGGAGCCCATCGTCATCTCATCCGGCACACCAACGCAACACAACAGCACGGGACAGCGCTCAGGCGCAGCCAGTGACGACGTAGCCCAACCGATGCCCGGCATGGGAGGAAACAGGAGCGCATTAAGCCCACGGGAGCCCCGAGAAGCCCGTCGGCACGTGGAGTTTGCGGCGATAAGTGGCGAGAACGCCATGATGGCCCCAATGCCACTCAAGCCGCAACGCCCGCCCTGCTTTGACCCAAGCCAACGCGGCGGCCCGACAGTTCAATCGTGGGTCTTCACGATGAATGTGTTTTTCGACGCCAACTACGTCGAGTCGGACGCCGCCAAGATCCGGTATGCGGTTTCACTACTCAGGGGCCCCGCCATGGACTGGTGGCGAGTCATTGTGACGTCGCCGCGCGCCTACGAGCCACCGTCGCACGAGGAAGGGCCCTCGGGTCCAGCTGTTACCTGGAGTTCGTTCTGCGAAACCGCCCAATACAGCACGTGGGATGAGTGGTGCGCAGGGCTTCGGGCGCGCTTTGAGCCGATCGCGGCCTCGATTTCGGCGCGTCAGAAACTGCGCACTTGGCGCCAGCTCGGGTCAGTTCAAGACTACACCAGCGGGTTTCTCGCACTTTGCGAACAGGTCGGCTACATGCACGAGGCGGAGCGGGTGGATCGTTACGTCGGAGGGCTGAAGCCGGACATCTCGCACGAGATAATGCTACGCGGGCTCTTGAATTTCAACGAGATCCTCGCGCTCGCCGAGAAAATCGATATCCTACGCCGACCGAGACCGGGGTCCTATTACGGACATCGTCCTCGGGGACCGACCGAGCACGCCACTGTACATGCCGTCGCAGCGAATGCAGCTGCCGCGCCGTTTAGAGGGCACTGCTTTGCTTGCAACCGGCCGGGCCATCGCAAGAGCGAATGTCCAGAGGAGCTGAGGCGTCGAGGAGCAGAGCAGGGGAGGGAGTCTCGGAGGCAGGGAAACGCCAGCAGTCAGTAGAAGTTAGGCCAACTACTGACGAGACTGCCTGCTCGCCCAACCACACCGACCCTCACCGAGTCACAGTACCGATTCACGCCATCGATCGGGCTCGGATGAATAAGGAGGGTACAGCGACGGATTGCCCGGTACTGATCTACGGGAAAATACAGGGAGCAGCAGTGAAGATCTTCATTGACGGAGGAGCAAGCCACAGCTTAGTTAATACCGCAACCGCACGAAAATTACAGTTAACGCTTAACCGATGTTTACCTGAGATAGATGCACGCTTAGTCGACGACACGCCCCTGGCCATACGGGAAAAGGTGGAGCGCGTAAAAGTCCGCTGCGGGGGGAACTTCGGGTTTACACAGGAAATGCTCGCGACGACACTGGATGGGCACGACATTTTATTGGGACGTGATTGGCTGCGACGGTACAACCCACGGATCGACTGGACGACGGGGAGCTGCACAGTGCGAAGTAGTGGTAACTGGGTCGTTCTACCTCGCTAGCAGCCACCCAAATCTTCGACGGTCCAGGTCAACGCCATCACGATGAAACGGGCTGTCGCTGCTGGAGCTGACGTGTACGCAGTGGATATCGCACTCGTAGAAAAAGATGAGCAGCCGAGTGATTTGGAGAAACTGCTGGCAACTGTACCGACCAAACTACAGGCGCTACTGAAACAGTTCCCGGGGATATTTCCGGATGATTTACCACAGGGACTGCCACCTCAGCGGGCGCACGACCATAGGATCGAGTTAGAACCGGGGGCACAGCCAACTGTACAGCGGCAATTTCGACTGACACAGCCCGAGCTCGACGAGTTAAGGAAGCAGTTAGATTACCTGTTAGAGAAGCAGTTTATCCGACCGAGCTCGTCACCGTTCGCCGCACCGATACTGTTCACACCGAAAAAAGACGGAGGGTTCCGCATGTGCATCGACTACCGAGCGCTTAACAGGGTAACAGTCAAATCGCGATACCCCATCCCCCGCGCCGACGAACTGATCGACCAACTGCGAACAGCACGAGTCTTTTCGAAAATAGATTTACGGGGAGGTTACCATCAGATTCGGGTCGAACCATCGGACTGCGCCAAAACAGCATTTAGGACTAGGTACGGGTCATTCGAGTATACAGTAATGCCATTCGGGCTGACGAACGCGCCTGCGACATTTCAGATGACCATGAACGAGGCGTTTAGACCACTTTTAGATAAATGCGTGATAGTTTACCTGGACGATATTCTAGTTTACAGCCGAGATAAGCAGCAGCACTTAGTGGATCTTGAAGCGTTTTTTAAGGTTTTGGAGGAACATCGGCTACTCACCAAGGGCTCCAAGTGCGAGTTTTTTCGGGACAGGCTAGAGTTTTTGGGTCACGTCATTTCGGAGGCTGGGGTTGAGATCGACCCAAAGAAGCTGGATACGGTAAAAGCGTGGCGCCCCCCGACGAACATCACGGAACTGCAGAGTTTTTTAGGTTTTGTTAATTACATTCGACGGTTCGTGCCCGACATGGCACGTTTAACAGCCCCACTCACTGATTTACTGCGTAAGGGGGTCGCTTTTACGTGGGGGGAGAAAGAGCATGCTGCCTTCTCTGCCCTGAAAAACGTTCTCTGTTCACCACCCGTTCTACGCATCGCTGATCCCCACCGCCCTTTCGAAGTGGTTACCGACGCAAGTGACATCGCCATCGGAGCTGTACTGTTACAGGACTTCGGCGACGGCCTCCAACCCATCGCCTACGAATCACGCAAACTACATCCGCCTGAGCGAAATTACCCGATACACGACCGCGAAATGCTCGCGATCGTGCACGCATTCAAAGTGTGGCGCTGCTACTTGACCGGCGCAGACGTGACAGTACGGACAGACCATCGATCTCTACAGTACCTCCGCGCACAGCCCCACCTCAACCCACGACAGATTCGATGGCTCGATTTCCTCGAGTCGAATTTTCACTATACGGTCACATACAAAAAAGGAGCCTCGAATATCGCCGACGCACTGACCCGCCCCACTGCCCAGATCCACGCGATACTACTCGCCCAGACCAGCCCGCTACTGACAGGCCTATTTACCCACGGATATCAAACAGACCCGTTCTTTACAGGAGGCAACTCACAGCAATTCGCAGCGGCAAAAGGAGTCTATTACGTAAAAGCTGGAACCGACCGCATCTGGGTACCAGGATACACGCTACTGCGGGAACTACTGTTACAGGAAGCACACGACGGAGTTACCTCGGGACATTTCGGAGTAGAAAAAACACGGCAGCAGCTGCAGCGGTACTACTACTGGCCAGAAATGTTGACCGATGTGCAACGACACGTGGCATCGTGCCCCACTTGCCAGCTCATGAAGTCAAGCAGGAAGCGGCCGGCAGGACAATTACAACCCATCCCGCCCCCAGAGCGTGCTTGGCAGCAGGTGACGATGGATTTCGTCACGGGGTTACCAGCTGGGGCGAGTGGGAATGACGCGATCCTGGTCGTCGTCGATCGACTAACGAAGATGGCTCATTTCGCAGCATGCAGGAAATCAATCACAGCCGAGGAAACCGCCTGACTCTTCATCACCACCGTCGTTCGACTGCACGGGATACCCGCATCGATCATCAGCGACAGGGACACGAAATTTACAAGCAACTTCTGGCGGAACTTGTGGCAGCAGTTCGGCACACGCTTACAGTTCAGTTCATCCTTTCACCCCGAAACCGACGGACAGACGGAACGGACAAATCAGACCATGGAGCAGCTGATTCGAGCCACGTGCGACGATCCGAATACGTGGGAACAGCAACTGCCACTCATCGAGTTCGCATACAATAACGCACCATCAGCCACGACGCAACAGTCGCCGTTTTACTTGAATTACGGACAGGACCCAACAGTACCCATGACACCGAATCCCGACAACCCCGTCCCACGAGCACAACAGTTCGCCGAGATTCTGCAAGCAGCACGGACCAGGGCAGCAGAAGCAATAAAAAAATCAAACATCATCGCTAAACGCAACGCCGATCGCCATCGCAGACCCGTTACTTATCAACCCGACGACCTCGTTTTACTCGACACTCAGAACCTCCGCCTGCCGATCACTCCAAAAAACCGCCCTCGATACTGTGGGCCATTTCGAATCAGTCACATGGTTACGCCAGTCACCGCGCACCTCCTCCTCCCTGCTGACTGGTACGTCAGCCCCTCGTTCCACGTCAGCTTACTTCGCCCTTACGTGCCATCCACCAGCCAACTCCCACGACATCGACCCACCAGCATGACACGACCACCAACCGAACCAGTCATCACCCCCGACAAGATCCTGAGCCACAGAGTTCGCGACCCTCGAGGAGCCCGAAAAGTGGAGTTTCTGATCCGCTGGAAAGATCGTACCCCCACCGAGGACAATTGGGTTCCCCTGGAGAAAGTTGAAAATCACCCCGTCGTCACCGACTACCTGCGTAGCCGCAATTTCCGAGACATCCACGCGCTTTCATAAGGAGGACCTCCTTAGGAGGGGGGGTAGTGTAAGGAAATTCCCTTTTCCTTACTTCGCGTCCCTGCTCAACGCGTACATCACTGTAGCACCTCAGTCAGCACCGTTACCACTCGCGACCATCGCATCATTCATCATCCCGCCCTTTTCGCACATCGCATCCCGACCTCACGGCTCGGCTGGTAACCCGCGCTCCGGACCTACGCTTCGACACTTTCCCAACCTCAGTCCCAGGCTCGTCGCGCGACCATTACCGTTACCACTGTAGTTTCGCTATATAATGTTCGCTCATGCCTTCGCTCATTTGTATTCTTGCTTTGGTAGTGCAATTCTCGTTCGTCCACTCAATTGCACTCGTAACAATAGCATACACTCTCATGAGACCACTTTCACATTTACTGTATCATTCAGCACAAACTCGTGTTGTAGCAGTTTCTGAAGTGTACCTGTTCGCTATACTGCGCTCTCCATTAGAAGATATCTATGTTGTTCTTCTTCGCATCTCGCTCTGTTACGAATCCCAACGGTGAAGATGCAACCAACGGACGAGTCTGTTGGTCATCTAGTCTTTTCGAGATGCGCGAAAAGGGTCGCCGCCTTTCGCAGGTCACCCGAGACACCACCGAGATTGTCTTTATCCCGAGGCTGATTTACTTCAGCAGACAGATAGCGGTCGATTACGTTTCTGAGTGGTGAGTATGCTTCACACCACCTTCGCCAACCCCGACATTCCCTGTGGAGGACCAATAATTGTCATTTCTGTCCATAGCTTCCGCACCCCACTCACCATCCCCTCCTTCCAGCCAGAATTCCCTCTCCATAATTGTGGAATCCGAGACCTTTCTCATAACGCATAGGGATATGCTCTGCTGCGACAAAGCCTGAGCCACGTCCGTCCAGACCCGAACACCGGAAATTATTGGAGCGACTAGTCCATATGTCGCCAGAACTCGCTAGTACGCGGATGTGCCCCCCGCAGAAGCCGCCATGTCCAGCATCCGCCATCCCAACCGAGCCCATAATTGTGAAAGCCTCATCCCGCGACAAAACTACACCAGAGTTTCTGAACCGCAGGCATTACACGAGCCGCGGAGGTTTCACAGATGCCAAAATTATACGAGCTGCCGAGGAAGTCAGGCGCTACGGGTCGGGCAGATCGTCCCCGACACGGTCACGCGTCGCCGTGGCAGCAGCGGTAGCATTGGAGTCAACTCAATGGCAGCAGAAGCAGTATTTATGTGCGCGCTGCCCCTCCCTAATCATCCCGCGGTCTCCTGCCCTGTAAATTCCGGCGACATACCTGAATTTGCACCTAGAAGTTGCCGGCTACCAGTCTCCGTGTCCTCGTGTCTCAATAATATTCGGGTCCTTTAGGCACTCGCATTAGCCTAGACATATATAAACTACTTCAAATCTCTGAGCCCACTGATCCCCATACCTTTTTTTCCGAGCACGCGCCTGCGCAGCAGGCCACGTTTCCGTGGATTTTTGTTGCTCCCGCATAAATCGACTCCGATTTAAGTAAACAGTAAGATTGACTCTGACTCTGGTTCCAATACTTACGCCGAACTGCAATCGAAAGGCGGTTCGGGCCACGCAGCTCGGGGCAATCGAAAGACGGTTGGCTGCACACTCGACCTCGTCCACGCTGAAGAACCTTTCATGACTCGAATGACGACTGCTGTAAGTAGTACTATCGAACTGCACCATGTACCACCCATTTCCTTCCCTTCCTCTCGCTACTTTATTCCTCCGATTGCAACCACTCAGGAAACACCTCTGCCTTTATTGGTCCAAAACTTTCGCCCGTAATCTACGACCTCTGTCCCGTCATCTTGTGCCCGGCAGGCATCGCGTGCGACGCTCAGTGTGCGTCGCACGAGCCCCAGTGTCGGCGTATCGTTCCGCCGTTCCCAAGCCTTCTCGGCCGTTCAGCTGGCGTTCGTGGCGCTGCTGGCGGTCGGCTTCACAGCCCGTAACGCGGCTGCTTCTATCGTGTACAACAGTGCGGGCGTGCATGCTTCTAACGGGGTTCCAGTGCGGAACCTCGGACGGTGGCGCGCGCAGGAAGGGGAGATGACGGCAGGAGGACGCGGACTGATCAGCAGCAGCAGCAGCATCAGCATCAGCGACAGCAGCAGCGGTGGCGGCAGTGGCGGCGGTATTGGCAGCGGAGGGGAAGGCGGGGAGATTCCCGAGTGGGCGCGGAGCGAGGTGTTGCGGTGGGAGGCCGCGCGCGCGCGCGAGCTCGGGCAGACGGAGGAGGATGAAGCGGAGCGGGCGAAGCGGGCGGCGCACGCGGAGATGGCGCGCGCGCTGTGGGAGGAGACGGAGGCGCAGTTCGAAGGGCGGCTGCAGGAGTGGCGCAGGCAAAGCGCGCGCCTGCAGGGGGTGGCGCAGCGGAAGTCGGAGAAGCGCGCCAGGCGCGCCAGGCACAAGTGGGCGCGCGCGCAGGGAAAACAGGCGCACGCACGGCCGGAGAGGAGCGGAAGTGGCGTTTTCGCGGTTAGCAGCGCTGGTGGTAGCGTTGGTAGTAGCGATAGTAGTGATGGTGGTGATGGTTCTACTGCTGCGCGAGTCGCGAGCCCCACAGAGGAGGAGCTGTTGGATCTCATGCCGGGAGGCACGCGCTCCTGGCAGAACCTTAAAGCCTCCGCTACCCGCTCCTCCTCAGCGTCCCCCTCCGCCTTCTCTGCCTCCATTGCCTCCTCCTCCTCCGATCCCTCTCCCTCCTCCTCTTCCAATTCCTCTTCCTCTGCCTCCTCTTCCTCTTCCTCCTCTTCCGATTCCCCCTCGTGCAACTGTTCTTCTTCCTCATCCGGTACGAAAAGCAAGAGCGACACGTCGCCTCCGACTCCATGGGAGGAGAATCGGCCGGCGGGAGAGTCCCCATGCAGCCCCAGGAGCACCGGACCGGTGATCAACGTCACCACTCTGGACCACATTCTATCGCGCACGAAGTACCCGTGGAACCAGACCGTCACCCTGGTGCTGCAGGCGTCGATTACTCTCGACCACTCGTTGGTGCTCGATTCGAGCTTCTCATGCACCATCTTCCAGGCAGACACGCTCCCCAGCGAATACGTTTTGGAGATCACCACCGACACGGAGCCCGTTCTTCAGGTGCGTTCTTCGAAACGTATTGAGTCTTCTGAAAAGAAAGCTTGACTTCTCCTGCGCCATCTTCCAGCTGGATACGCTCCCCCAGTGAGCATGTTCAGGAGATTACGACTGACGTAGAGCCCGTGCTTCAGATGCGTTGAGGGAAGCCCTCACTCTCACGTAGAGCTGCCTTGGAATGGAAAAAATAGCCTGGAGATCACCACGGACACGGAGTCCCTGCCTGCATCAGGTGTTGATCAGGATCGGTTTGAGGAGCCCGTTCCGATTTGCCTATCCCTCGCCTTGAGCCTTGTGGCATCTTGCCAGATAGATCACCACCCACTCACTATCATCTCTCTCACTCACAATCATCTCTCACACTCACAATTACCACTGACATTCACGACTCACGTGGACCCTCTGTGCTGTGCGGTACTATGTTGCAGGTGCACAACGCGAGCAACATGGTGTTTATCGGGATCGGTCTGAGGAGTCCTGTCAGAAACGGGTCAGCTTATTGCGAGTCGCTGCCCGAGTATGGGAATTTGTTGGGGAACGACCTCCTGTGCCCGGCTCTGCTCATCTACCGGTGCGTTTTTGGGTTCGTTTTGAAGTGCGTTTTGTGGTTCGTTTTGGGGTTTGTTGAATTCAGGACGTAATGGTTGCATTTCTGCTGCTGGCTTGTTGAAGGCATCTATTAAAGCCTGGTGTGCCTGCCAAATAACCTGTTCTGTCTCCTCCTCTGCTGCTGCTGCCTTACCGTTCCCTTGTTCTTCCCTTGCCTGCAGGTCGTATGGCATTCAGTTCACGCAGGCGTTAGTGGTGGGGTGGGGCACATAGCAGGTGCTAGAATCGCTCTTTCTTTTCTCACTAGGCCCGCCTCCTCTGCCTCCTGCTGCTGCTGCTACACCTACCCTCCCCTGCAGGTCGTACGGCATTCAGTTCACGCAGGCGTCAGTGGTGGGGCGGATAGACGTGTTCCGCTGCGCATACACGAAGCTGGACTCGCTCTTTGCCACGGCGCCCTGGGACTTCCAATACCACCCGGGGGTCATCCGCATGGGCATGAGCGGCATCGGCGTCAACCTCACCTCCTCCGAGAATATAATCTCCAATAACGACCTCTTTGGCGCGTGGGAGCTCATCTACCTCTATCGGGGAACCATTGGAGCTACTGTGAGGAACAACTTCCTCCACGACTACCTCTTCTCAGGCTTCAGGTGCGGTGCTTAGCGTAAACAGAGAGGTGCACTGCGTTTCAGAGCTCTTAAGCACCTCGTTTCACATACTCTTCTGCGGTGCTGTGCGGTGCATGGTTTTAGAATCGCGCGGCTGTTGTTACCAACCAGAACTTCCTCTCCCACCCTCACCATCTCCTTTTCCATCGTCGTTATCCTTACACACTCTCTTTCCATTCCCCGTGTGCACAGGTGTGGAGCGGACGTGCATTTCGCGTGGGACTGTGCGCTGACGACAGTGAAGCACAACTTTGTGTTCTCCCCGCAGAAGAAGAACCTCACAGGCGACTCTGCTGGCATCTACTTCTGCACGCACTGGTTCAGCCCCGGTGAGCCTTCAGCCCCGGTGAGCCTTAAACCCTGATAAGCCTCAGCCACTCTTGAGACGGGCTCTCAACTTCATTCGGATTATGTGACTGCCGCTCCTATGCCTGCCTCCCTGCACCTCTGGATTCTGGCTCTTCTGTACCTCATCCCACCGCACTCGACCCCCCCCCACCCACTGCTACTACCTTGCACGTCAGGCGTGGCCATCCAGGGGGGCGTGTGCCTGTCTGCAGCTATGGGCTCTGACTCTTTCTCACAACATTCTAATGCATTCCACCGCACTCCACCCTATCCAGGCAACATGATGAGCTGCAACTATGTGATCGGCAGGGATCACTGCTACTACCTCCAGGAAGGCGTGTGTCTGCAGCTGTGGGCTCTGACTCTTTCTCACCGCACTCCACCGCGCCCCACCACATTGCACCGCACTCCACTCCACCCCAACCCACGCAGGGAACACGGTGAGCTGCAACTATGTGATCGGCGGGGACCACTGCTACTACCTGGACTACTGCACGTCAGGCGTGGAGATTCAGGGGGGCGTGTGCCTGCAGCTGTGGGACGGTGTGAAGCTGAACAACGGCAAGAGGAACCACATCCGCAGCCTGCTCATGGTGGGGCTGGGCCAGAGCCCCGGCTACATCACGTGCTTCACTGTCACGGTCAACCACTGTCGAAAGGACCCCGGGTCGTATTGGGAGGCCATGCGGAAGCTGTACTACGACACGCCTGAGATCAACAAGGTAAGTCCTCATGGTGGGGTTGGGACAAAGCCCGGTTCAGAGCTCCTCTCTACCCCTCTCGGCCCCTCTCCGCCCCTCTCCACCGCTCTCCACCCCTCTCCACCACTCTCCACCCCTCTCCACTTCTCTCCACCGCTCTTCATCCCTCTCCTCCCCTCTTACACCCCTCTCCACCCCTCTCCTCCCCTCTCTCCCCTCTTCACCCCTCTGCACCCCTCTGCACACCTCTGCACACCTCTGCACACCTCTGCACCCCATTCAACCCTCTGCACCCCTCTCCACCCCTCTGCACCCCTCGCCAAACCCCCACCCCTTGTTCCCCTTACAAGGAATGGCCGTGGATGAAGCACGTGTGTCGGCAGACGCGCATCGGCGCGTACAGCTGCAACCCGCCCGGGCCCGGCGCGCTCACTGCGCACGACACCGGCGCGTGCAGCGGAATGGCGACGGAAAACGACGTCGAATATATCGTCGTCGATCCGGACTCTCTCAGGGACGCGGAATATCGGTACTGCGAGAAAAACCCTGGCGCGGACTATTTGAACCGGCAGGTTGTCTACAGGTACACTGGCGATGACATGAAATTTGCTGATTATGCAAATCAGGATTTCGGGGTTTCGGAGGGATCGGTGGTGTTGGCGGAGCACCCCGAATTTGTTTCCTGCCCGAAGAAAGATATCGGGATAAAGGCGGTTTCGGTACAATCGTACTTCAAGGATTGGAACATCCCGGAGCCGCTGTTTTTCCAGGCTATGCTGGACCTGCCTTACAAAATGGTGTTTAATAGTGAGCTTTATTAGGTTGAAGGGTTTAGGATTCACAGGGGTTCCAGTGTGGTGGTGGAGTGGAGCTCTCAATTTGGTGTAGGAGGATACATCATGGCGCCGTGGTAGCCTGTGCTTGCTTAGTCTGGTCTGGCTTAATAAAGTGCCGTGAAATCCTATTTTCTCGGGTCTATCAACAGCTATTTCACGCATATCTTGCTCCTCTTTTAATGACTACAATACTACCGTATCACAAACCCTTTTCCAATCAGGAAGCACAAGGCATGCCATTGTGAATAACCCACCGCCTTTGCCTCTCCACAATACAGCTCCGGATTCAGGCCAAGAAAAGGTGGCGTGGCCGTCTTTCCTTTCCCCTCAGCCATGGCCGTCTTTCCTTTCCCCTCAGCCATGGCCATCTTTCCTTTCCCCTCAGCCATGGCAAGCCATGGCAGCAGCACGGCCCCTCTGCCTCGCCGCCACCATCCCATCCCATGGCACATATCCGACAGCCTCTGCCTCGCCGCCACCATCCCATCCCATGGCACATATCCGACAGCCTCTGCCTCGCCGCCACCATCCCATCCCATGGCACATATCCGACAGCCTCTGCCTCGCCGCCACCATCCCATCCCATGGCACATATCCGACAGCCTCTGCCTCGCCGCCACCATCCCATCCCATGGCACATATCCGACAGCCTCTGCCTCGCCGCCACCATCCCATCCCATGGCACATATCCGACAGCCTCTGCCTCGCCGCCACCATCCCATCCCATGGCACATATCCGACAGCCTCTGCCTCGCCCCCACCATCCCATCCCATGGCACATATCCGACAGCCTCTGCCTCGCCGCCACCATCCCATCCCATGGCACATATCCGACAGCCTCTGCCTCGCCGCCACCATCCCATCCCATGGCACATATCCGACAGCCTCTGCCTCGCCGCCACCATCCCATCCCATGGCACATATCCGACAGCCTCTGCCTCGCCGCCACCATCCCATCCCATGGCACATATCCGACAGCCTCTGCCTCGCCGCCACCATCCCATCCCATGGCACATATCCGACAGCCTCTGCCTCGCCGCCACCATCCCATCCCATGGCACATATCCGACAGCCTCTGCCTCTCTGCAGCAAAGCCAGCCGCACTCACTCCTAAGCTAGTGTGGCCCTCCTCCCTTTCCTCTCCGCCATCACAGCAGCACTCGCCTCGCCCCCTTCCGCGCCCCCATCATCCCGTCTCAGATATACGGTACGACAGCCGCTGCCTCTCTGCTGCTGAGTGCTGACACTGACTGTCTTATGACACACTAACGGCTCAGGATTCACTCATGAAGGTGCTGACACTGACTGTCTTATGACACACTAACGGCTCAGGATTCACTCATGAAGGTGCTGACACTGACTGTCTTATGACACACTAACGGCTCAGGATTCAGGCAAAGGTGGCCCTCTTTCCTTTCCTCTCTGCCATCGCAGCAGCACTACCACCCTTCCTCGCACCCATCATCTCATCGTAAATTTCCAACAGTCTCAGCCTCTATGCAGTTAAGCCACGCAGGCACCGCTGACTCCTCCTAAGCTAGTGTGGCTCTTTTCCCTTTCCTCTCCGCCATGGCAGCAGCACTGCTCCCCTTCCTGGCCCCCATCATCTCATCGTAGATATCCGACAGTCGCTGCCTCTCTGCTGCTGACACGGATGGCCGCACGCTCCCCACAGCCTGCTCCAGATGCACCCTCCCCAGTACCGGCCTCCCTACCTCCACCACTCCCTCCGCTTTCTGCCCCTTCCTGCCCTTTCTGCCCTTCCTCGCTGCTCCTGCCTTCCCTCTATGCTGCTTCTTTTGGTCCTCGATTCCTGCTGCCTCGTCTGCTGCCCCTCCTGTCCCTGATGCCTGCCTCCCTGCTTCTGCTTCCACCTCTGCCTTCTCGTCCCCTCCATCTCCATTTCTCGTCTCCTCCCCAGCTCCCTCCTTCCCTCTTTCCACTTTCTCACTCTTCCCTTCTCCCCCCCCTTCACCCTCCCCTCCTCCCACCCTCTCACTCTCATCCAGCACAGCATGCACCGCTGCCAGCTGTGCATCTGCCAGCAAGGCCTGAAGATCCGCGCCGCTGAACCCCTCCGTGCGCCGTGCCAGCTCAGCAAGGTCCACGTCAGCACCCAGAGGAAGCGTCCTGGAAAGCGCGCGCAGAATCGACAGCCGATCCTCCTCCCCGGGGAAATCGCAGAGCACGAGCCGATCCAACCGTCCAGGACGCAGCAGAGCCGGATCGATCAGATCTGGACGGCTCGTAGCGGCCACCACAAAAACCCCTTCTAACCCCTCCACACCATCTAGCTCCGTTAATAGCTGATTCACTACTCTGTCGGTCACCCCCGTGCTATCATGCCCTCTTCGCGGCGCAATCGCGTCAAACTCGTCGAAAAACAGAATGCACGGAGCGGCGCGGGAGGCTCGGGAGAACACGTCCCGAACCGCCTGCTCCGAAGCTCCGATGTACTTATTCAGGAGCTCCGGGCCTTTCACCGAGACACACCGAATCCCACACGCAACAGCAGCAGCGCCGACAATGTGCGTTTTCCCACACCCGGGAGGGCCGAAAAGGAGCACGCCAGTGCGAAGGCGGAGAGGAGCTGAGGCAAAGATATGGGAGTGCTGGGCTGGGAGCTCTAAGACTTCTCGCAGGGCTGTTTGGGCGTCGGCCATTCCTCCCACGTCGTCCCAGCCTAGCTGGGGGGAGGCGGAAGAGGATGAAGAGGAGGAGGGGTCGGAGGAGGCGGAGAGCTTGGCGACGCCGCGCACGGCTGCTGGGACGAAGCCCTGGAGGGCGGAGGAGAAGTCTGGCTCGGAGAGAAGGAGCGCGTGTTGCTGCTGGTGTACTTGCTGTATTGACTGCTCTTGCACCTCCTGCTGCATCTTCTCCCTGTGTTGCCCCTGCTGTATCGACTGCTCTTGTTGCTCCTGCTGCTCCTGCTGCTCCTCCTGCTCCTCCTGCTCCTGCTGCTCCTGCTCCACCTGCTCCTGTGGCGGCCGCTGCTCTCCTCTGCCCGTTCCAGGCACCATCATGGCCACTCTGCCTCTGCTAGCTCCTCCCCCTTTCTTCTCTCCTCCCCCTTTCTTCTCTCCTCCCCCTCCGCCCTCACTCTCACCTTCCCCAAACCCATCCCCACCCCCACCCGCATCCCCACCCTTTCCCCTTCTCCCTGCTTCGAACATCACATGCCCTCGCCTCGCGTGAGCCGCACGATCGACCAGCACCTCAAGATCCGACGCGTCGCAGCCCTGACACCTGGCGGCCACTGATTGGAGCAGAGCATCCCCTCCCTGCCACCCAATCCCCCTCTCCAGAAGGATCCGTCTGAGCAGTGCTGCCCTCTCGCCCTCCCCCATGGCGGGTAGCTCCACAGGGGTGTCAAAGCGGCATGCAGCACGGAGAGATGGCGCTATGGCGGATGGCGAGGGGGCTGTTGCTAGGAAGGCTATAGGGGACTGGTGAGCCTGGGAGAGAAGTAAGGGGAGAAAAGGAGGGAAGAGGACGGACAGGGAGGGAGGCGACAGAGGTGAGGTGAGGTGAAGTGCGGTGAAGTGAGGTGAAGTGAGGAGAAGAGAGGATATGTAAGGAAAAGTGAGGTGAAGGGAGGTGAAGGGAGGTGAAGTGGGTTGAGGACGGCGGCGAGAGGGGACAGAGATGTGAGAGTGAAAGGCATGGCTGCTGATCTTACATTTGTGTATATTCCCTATCAAATGCGCACCATACACATGCCATGTCACCATGCTGCTCACCTGGCATTCATCCATCAGGTCAGCAATAAACTCCACTAATCCCGCGCCGCCACCTGTCCCTTCCTCCGGCCCCCCACTCGCCCCCGGAACCAGCACATCCAGATCGTCCAACACGACGACAGCTGGCGCCCTCTCATTGGCCCGCGCCACCGCCCTCCCCAGCACCCGCCGAACCTCCTTCACAGGGTCGGACCCGAGCCTGGAGCAGCTGACAAACTCCGTGTGCGCGAGGCAGGTCCGGTCGTTCCGAACCTGCCAGGCGAGGGCCGAAGCTAGGGAGGTTTTGCCGCTGGCAGGGGGGCCATGGAGGAGAATGGAGCCTGGGGAAGGGAGGCGGAGGGAGCGACGGGTGAGGCGGAAGGGGAGGGAGAGAGAGGCGAGGAGGCGGGAGAGGGCAGTGGAGGCTGGTTGGTGAAGCCAGGAAAGAGTGAAGGAGAAGGGGTGATCAAGGGGTGGTGCAATGGCTTTCAATGGTACTGCTGATGCTGATGATGACGCTGTTACTGATGTCAGTGCTGGTGCGCTTAACGGTGGTGCTGAGGGTGCGGGCAGGGGCAGTAGAGCAGAAATCACAGGAAATACATTATCAGAGGAGTGACCCGGAGAGATGACTGAGTTATGATGAGGCGATGCTGCTGACTGGGCCTGCACCGGGCTACAAACGAGTCCGGGGCTGCTTGTAAAGGGGACAGCCCACTCCATGGGAGCTCCCAGTGCGACAGTGCTGCGCTCCGATTGGACGGCAGTCAGCAGCGCCAGGCTGTCGACCGCCTCGCTGGCAGCCGCCCGGAGGGCAGGAAGCGTCTTGGAAGCTTCAGAAGAAGGTCCATCTGCAGATGTATGTGAAGATTCCAGTGTGGACCCATGGGATATAGAGCCTGATACTGGTGCCACACTCCCATATGCACCCATTCCACCCATTCCTCCCATTCCTCCCATTCCTCCCATGCTGCTCCCAGGCCCCATCCCTCCTGCCATGCTGCTGCCAAGGCCCATCCCTCCTGCCATGCTGCTGCCAAGGCCCATCCCTCCTGCCATGCCGCCAGGCCCCATGGTTCCACCCCCACCCATCATCCCCTGCCCTCCCGCACCTCCCAGCCCCATGCTTCCTCCCAACACTGCCCCTGCCAAAGCAGTCAAGGCCCCCATCTGCTGCTGCTGTCGGTGTGTGTCGTATGACGAGTTACCTAAACCAGTACCAGTATTGGAAGCAGTTGCGCTAGCAGCAGCAGCAGCAGCAGCAGCGGAGCGAGTGCGTGCTCCAGGTGGTGAGCCAAAAGTGAGAAGAAAGAGAGCGTCCCTTGCTGCTCCTGCTGCTGCTCCTGCTGCTGCTCCTGCTGCTGCTCCTGCTGCTCCTGCTGCTGCTCCTGCTGCTGCTCCTGCTGCTGCTCCTGCTGCTGCTCCTGCTGCTGCTCCTGCTGCTCCTGCTGCTGCTCCTGCTGCTCCTGCTGCTGCTCTTGCTGCTCTTGCTGGTAATGGTGCCGTCGCTGCTGTTTCTGGCGCCTCACAATCCACTCTACCTTCCACCCTCTCACCCTCCCTCTCACCTCCCTCTGCAGCAGACCCATCCCCATCCACTCCGCCCCAATTGACTCCATCCCACCACACCAGTCTCAGCACTGCACCATCTACCAGAGGCACTCCCATCTCTCCCCTTGCTTGCCCCACTCCCCTCTTTGCTTGACCCAACCCTCCTTGCAGCAACACACACGCCAGCGCCCTCACCCCTGGATCCTTCTTTTCTTGAGACGCCTCAGAACGCCCTCGTGACTCCGTCCCCTCCTCCGCCTCTCGCTCCCTTCTCTCTCGCTCCCCCATTCCAGTACCTGTCTCTCTCTCTCCAGTCTGTCCCACCTCTCTTCCCTTCCACCCAGCTACTCTCTTCCAATGCCTTGCTGCTGCTTCAACAGCAGCACCCACTCCAACCGCTCCTAACCGCGCCTGCTGCTGCCGATCCAGCTGCTGAATCTGCTGCTGCTCGTTCCCTGGATAAAGAAAACCAATAACACTCCCTCCCCCTCCCGCTCCCCCTCCTGCGCCTGCTCCCCGGGATCCTCCCCTTGACCCCGCACCCCCCACTGACGCAGCACCAGAGAGCACCAGAGGGGTGAGGAAGAGAGAGGGGGGAGGGGGGATGAGGAGGCAGGAGGAGACAGTGGAGGGAGGAGATGTGTGAGAGGGTTCCCTCACACTCCCTTTCCCTGCACTCCCTCTGCTTCTTCCCCCACTCACTCCCTCCCCTCCACCGTTCCGGGTCTCCACTCCACCACCCCCAACCGCATTCCACCCATCATCACCAGCCCCAACCGTGTTCCACCCCTCTCCACCACCCCAAGCGCCTACAGTCCCTTTGAGGAGCACCTTTGAGAACCAGTCTACTGCCAGGCACAGGGAAAGTGCCGGAGGTATCATCAAATGGCCTGCTGCCACGTGGCAGGAGGGCAGCACCCGCACAGGGACGGAGGTGCGCGAGGAGAAGCGCTGTGATTGGCTGGAGCGGCTGGAAGCTGAGCCCTGATTGGTGGGTTTTGGGTGGCGGGCTGATGCTGGCACGTGGAGAAGGAGGAGGAGAGGGGGACGTGCTGTTGTGCTGTGAACACTCACACTCCCGCTCACACTTTCACCCGCACTCCCATCTTTGCTCTCACTCTCGTGACTGCTCTCCTGTGCTGCATGCGAGGGCTTTACAGAACAAGGCACGTGCTGCAGCTGTGTCCCTCCCCCTCCCACTCGCTTCCAGTCAGCCTCGCTCACAAACACACACCCTGCTGGCTCCACCACCACCAACCCATCTCCACTCCCTCCCCCTCCTCCTCTGCTGCTATCTGTTGCTGCGCCCCCCTTGCTGCTGCTGCTACACAAGCCACGTGTATCACAAAGTGCCAGATCGTCACTAGAGCTGTCGTGTGATTGGCCTGAAACGACGGACCAATCAAAGGGCTGTACACGCAACCACACTCGCACCTTCCTCTCCCTTCCACCTCTTCCCTTCCCATCTTTCCCCTCCTTTCCCTTCTCCTCTCCCCCTCCCCCTCCCGCTCCCCCTGCCCCACCTATCAGTGTCTCTCCTGCGCCTTCCTCCTCCCCCTCCGCGCCCTCCACCGCGCTCCCCCTAGTGCGGGGGGCAACAATGACCTCGGATCCGGGCACAAGGCGCACCAAGGGGGAGGGGGACGCAGAGAGGGCGCACAGGCGCAAGGGCGCTTGCCCCTGCGCCCATATGGGGAAGGACTGCCCTGCTGCAACCGCGCCCACCTGCGCGCAGCAGGGGAAAAAGTTCAGGAGGGGGGGGGGCGCACGAATGGGGGGAAATTATGGGGGGGATCTGGGGGAGTCTTGTGCGTCCATTGAGGAAAAGAACTGCGCACCTGCGCCCCTGCCCCCAGCTGGATCAAGCGGAAATAGTCTCCCTTGAAACCCACCTTCCCCCGAACCTACCTGCTGCAGAATGGGGCCTCAAATCGCACTTCCTCCAAATCCCCCCTCCCTCAAATCTCACTTCCTCCAAATCCCCCCTCCCTCAAATCTCACTTCCTCCAAATCCCCCCTCCCTCAAATCGCACTTCCTCCAAATCCCCCCTCCCTCAAATCGCACTTCCTCCAAATCCCCCCTCCCTCAAATCGCACTTCCTCCAAATCCCCCCTCCCTCAAATCGCACTTCCTCCAAATCCCCCCTCCCTCAAATCTCACTTCCTCCAAATCCCCCCTCCCTCAAATCTCACTTCCTCAAATCCCACTGTCCCCGCAACCCACCTCCCCCGGAACCCACCTGCTGCAGAATGGTCTCCTCCAAAAGCGCCGGATTCAGCTCCAGCACCTCCCAGTCGTCTGACGTGGCAGGTGCCACGTGGACAGCCTCCGCGGGCGGAATGCTCCCCCACAGGCGCACCCGTACGCGCACCCCCTCCCCCTCCGCCAGCCCCAGACACTCCCCCAACTCCCGCGGAACCTCCAGCGCCGAACCTGCTGCCGCGGCTCCGCCCCAAGCCAAGAAGAGCGGCTTGGCCGAGGCTCGGGATGAAGAGGCTCGGGAAGAGGCTTGGGAAGAGGCGTGGGAAGATGCGTGAGACGACGGTTGGGAGGAGGGAGGAGGGGAGGTTCGGCGAAGGTCGAGGAGGAGAGGGGCGGGAGGGGGTTCGTCGGAGGAGGAGGAGAGGGTGAGAGAGTGGAGGAAGTGGAGGGGGAGGCGCACCCAGCAGGAACGGTCGGGGATGAGAGAGACTGTAAGATCCATGATGTCGAATTTAGCGGTGTAGCTTTAATAGAGCTGTAAATTCGACCGCTGTATCTCCTATAACGGTGAAAATATGTCCTACGAAACTAGCAGTGTAACGGTGAGAGGGAGGGTCAGAAACGCCATCGAGCCGTACAGATGCAGCTATGGACAAATCCGCGGGGTCGTGCGAAGAATTCGAAAGAGACGAGAGACTTGGTTTGAGAGATGTTAGCAAACTCTCAAAAAACACGCACGGTTGTGCGAAGCTAGCGACCGCTTGCTGCGACGCGCAGTTCGTTCAGAGGGGCGACGCGCACGAGCTGTTCTCGCGAGGACTAAAAGCAGGAGCCGCTACAGCGGAGAGTTAGACCGACAAACACCGTTAATTGCGGTCACGCGCATCGGCAACCATACTGCTCGTGGGGGAATGGTGAGGTGATGAGATGACCCATCGGTTAGGAACCAGAGCTTGGTGCCCGTGGCATCACACGTTTATGGACTCAACCTCAAGAGTAGGGCCATAGAAAGCTGGAAGTTTTGATTAGTGTACTCTTCAGGTAAATCGTAAGAGATGGAAATATGTTTTCAGGGCCAAATCGGTTTATCTTTGAAGGGATCGATTTTGCGGTATTGCCTTGGCCCTTCCAGGTCAGCATCAGCAAGCAGGAATCGCGATCGGAATTCTCAATAGCCTCTGCGCTGCGGCACAGCAGCCACGTAGCGATCTCTCCATAGCATACCTCTGGCTAGCATAAAATAACCTCTTTCCCGTAATCCCTGGGTTCTCAACCATCCTTGCCAGAAACTCGCGCAGATGACCTCTTCGTAGCCTCTTGTAGCCTCGGAAAGCCGACATTCTCGATGGAATACGAGTAAACGTGCACCTGTCGACGTTCGTCTGCTCAACCGTACGCCGCTGATACTCTTGCGCATCGAAGCCCACTGACACGCACAATCCTAGACTCGCATCGTCGCACAGGCGAAGCGATGACGCTGAAGGCAGCCATTGCGACGTGGGCCCGTCGCGTGTGCGACCCGCGCGACACCAAGGCGGCGTGGGCCGTCGCACGGCTGCTTCTGATCGCAGAGGCAGTGCTGTGCTCCGCGATCATCGCCAAGGTCCCATGTGTGTCTCGTCATTGCCGCTCGCCGTCCCCTCATTCACACCTGCCGTGGTTCTTCTCTCGCTTCTGTGCTCCGCGCTTATCGTGCTCTGCCGTCGCCCCCTTCTTGTGGTGGAGCGAGGGGCAAGCTCGGGCCCCTTTTTGTGAAAAAAAAATACGTTTTTTTTTCATTTCGCTTCCCCGCTTGCTTGCGCCATCCTCCCCACTCTAATCCGTCCGCCAGACACCAAGATAGACAGGGACGCGTACATGGCGCAAGTTACGGGCTTCCAGCACGGCGAGCGGGACTACACCAAGCTGGAGAGAGGGAGACACGGGCCTCCTCGTCTACCTTACCAGTTCTACCTTGGAGAAATCCCAGTATTGCGCTTCCATCCATTTATCCATCCATCCCGCTTGCTCCACCCAACCCTCTTGCACCACCCTCCAGACACCAAGATAGACTGGGATGCGTACATGGCGCAGGTCACGGGCTTCCAGCACGGCGAGCGCGACTACACCAAGCTGGAGGGCGACACGGGCCCCCTCGTCTACCCTGCAGGGTTCCTCCTCTCCTTCTCTGCTCTCAAGTGGATAACCGGGGGAATCGTGGCAAACGCTCAGGTGGGTTCTTAGAAACTCAGGGGCACAAGGCGGGGGGATCACTCCGGGGCGAGGTGACTTTTGAGTCGACTCAAAAGTCACTTCTTAGAAACTCAGGGGCACAAGGGGGGGGGATCACTCCGGGGCGCTTGGGAGGGAGAGACACGGGCCCCCTCGTCTCCCCTGCTGGCTCCCACCTCCCTTCCTCTACCCTCATATAGATCACAGGAGGGGTTGTTGCAAACGATCAGGTGGGTTCCTGGCTGGCAAGGCCAGATAGATTCCAGGAAGCTCCAGGAAGACGCCCTCTTGCCAGGAACCTATCTGGCAAGGCCCTCTTTGTCTACCCTGCCTTTTGAGTCGACTCAAAAGTCACCTATCTGGCAAGGCCCTCTTTGTCTACCCTGCCAAGCTCCTCCTCTCTTTCTCTGCTCTCAAATGGATCACCAGGGAAATCGTGCCAAACGCTCAGGTAGGTTCCTGGAAGGTGAGGAAGGTTCGTGGAAGCTCATTTAGGTCCCTGAAAGTGCAGGCAGGCTCCAGGAAGCTCAGGTAGGCTCCTGGAACTGCACATGGGTTTAGGCTCCCGTCTCTTCCTTTGTTTCCTCAGCCTTTCTCACAATCTCCATCTCTCCTGCCTAACCCTCCTATGTCTCCTCAGCCCTCTCGTAGTCTCCATTTTCTGATTTTGTTTTGTTTTCCTCCACAACCCCTGCCTCTCTCTCTCTCATCCGTTTCTCCTTGCTCTCTTCTCGCTCCGTCCTCGCCTCCATCGCAGGCGGCCTTCCTCGTCCTCTATCTCATCAACCTCCTCATGGTCTTCGCCATCTACATCCGCACACAGGCGGTAAGAAGCAATTTAGAGAATGTGGTGACAAGGTGACTCTATTCTTTAGTGGACCCAACGGGCACCTCTTCTCGTCCTCTATCTCATCAATCTGCTCATGCTCTTCGCCATCTACATTCGCACACAGGCGGTAAGAAGCAGCGATGCACATGTTGTGCTGTGTCGACGTGACTCTATAGTTGACTCACATGGCATGCCACATGGCATGCTACATCTACTCTATAGTTGACTTGACTCACATGGCACGCCTCTTCGTGCTGCTGCAGGGTTTTTTTGAGAGTTCTCAAAAAAACCCTACAGCACATGGCATGCCTCTTCGTGTCCTGTCCTCTGTTGTCATTAATATGTTTTATGGTGTTCGCAGCCAGAGTTTGCGAGGAGTAATCATTGAGAACAAGGCGGTCACTGGTGGGTGCTTTTGCTGGTTCCACACCATGTGCTGGTCTGCTGCACCCATCTTCATGCTTTCTTCTCCTCCCTGCCCCCACCAACCCACATCTTCCCTGGTCCCCCTCGTCAGGTGCCCCCCTGGGCGCTCGTGCTGCTGTGTCTCTCCAAGCGTCTGCACTTCATCTTCCCACTGCACCTCTCGCCCCTGATTCCCTCATTCCCCACACCTGCCCAATCTGTCATCTCTTTTCTATATCAGGTGCCCCCCTGGGTGCTCGTGCTGCTGTGTCTCTCCAAGCGTCTACACTCCATCTTCCTGCTTCGTCTCTTCAATGACTGCCTCGCCATGGCATTCCTGCACGCCTCGCTCCTCAGACTGCAATCGTCTAGATGGATCCCGGCAGTCCTCCTATTCAGGTCAGCAGACGTTGCCTTGTGTAGGCTCATCAATAACTGCCTCGCCATGGCATTCCTGCACACCTCGCTCCTCAGGCTCCAATCCTCTAGATGGATCCCCGCAGTGCTCCTCTTCAGGTCAGTAGAAATCATCTATCTTTGGATCGTCAAAAGTGAATTCTGTTTCTTCAACCACTATCGCCATGGCCTTCCTTCACGCCTCGCTCCTCAGACTGCAGTCATCCAGATCCCAGCACTGCTTCTATTCAGGTCAGTAAGAACCATCTAGACTTGTCACATTAATGACTGCAGCTAGACTTTTCAACGACTGCCTCGCCATAGCCTTCCTCCACGAATCACGCCTCCACGAATCACGCCTCCCTGAATCACGCCTCCCTGCTCCAACTGCAGTCGTCCAGATGGATCCCGGCAGTGCTCATCTTTCAGGTCAGTAAAAACCATCTGGACCTCTCACTGTACAGACTGCAAGCAAATCTCTAGGCCAGGCTCTTGGTTGACTGCCTCGCCATGGCCTTCCTTCACGCCTCCCCCCTCAGATCAGACTGCAGTCATCCCGATGGATCTCGGCACTGCTCCTCTTCAGGTCAATAGTGAATATCTAGGCCAGACTCTTGGTTCTCTCATGCGTGCATCCGTGCGGGCGGGCATGCGTGCGAGCTCAGTCAAATTGAACGTGCTTCAAACGGCTATTCCTCCTCTGCTTCTTCTTTTCCTTTGTAAACCTCCCTCCCTCTCTCCCTCCCTTCCTCCAAACGGCTACATCCGTCCACATGCATGTATTCGTCCCTTGACACGACTGTCCATGTGCATGTGTGTAGTGCAGGCGTGTCAGTCAATATAAACGTGATCCTCTTTTCTCTGTTTCTCTTTCCCCTTTCAATCCTCACTCCATCCCCATTCCCTCCCTTCCTCCCTCCATGCGCATGTGTGCAGTGCAGGCGTGTCAGTCAATTTTTGAGTTGACTCAAAAATCGACTCATCACATGCAGTGCAGGCGTGTCAGTCAAGATCAACGTGATCCTCTTCCCACTCTACTTCTTCTCTCCACATTCAATCCTCCCTCACTCCCTCTCTCCCTCCCTCCATCCCTCCACACGCTTACGTTCATGTGCATGTGTACATATTTCATGTGCATGTGTGCAGTGCAGGCGTTTCAGTCAAGATGAACGTCCTGCTCTTCCTCCCTCCTCTGCTTCTCATCATGGCAAAGGTTTCCCTCTCTCTCTCTCACTCGCACCCCTCTCCATCTCACTCCCATCCCACTCCATCCAGCCGCCTTTCTCAACCCATGAACGATTATCTTTGTCATGCCCCTCCACCTCTCATATAATTTTGGGCTATGCTTGGACCTCGGCTGTGGTTCCTTCCATTTCCAATGTCTTTCTATCCCAAAAACCCTATTTCCTACCCTGCTCTTTCCTCTCACTTTTCTTCCATGTCTCTTGCCATTTTGCATCCCCAATCTACTCCTCTCCTCGTATCTCCTCCTTTTCAATCCACCTTTCCCCAATTCTCCTTTTCTCTTGTCATAACAACAGCCCCTTCGCACGCTCTCCCTTCTGTCGCTTCAATCCTGCCCTCATTTTCGTTCTCCTCTCACGTCCAACCACACGTCCAACCACACACACCAGACCCTTCCCCTGCTTCAAATAATGGCTCTCCTTGGTGCAGCAGTCGCCTTTCAGGTACGCTCTTCTCTCCTGCACGTTCTTTCACGTACACAGGCTGCAATCTCAAATTGACCTCAAAACCTCACCCAGGGCTCGTCCTGTGGGTTTTGATGTCAGCTTCAACAGTTTGGTGTTGAGACGTCTCATAACTTGTTCCTCTCATCTCCTTTTGAGTCGACTCAAAAGCCGTCTCATAACTTGTCCCTCTCATCTCCTTTTGAGTCGACTCAAAAGCCGTCTCATAACTTGTTCCTCTCATCTCTGTAATGTCTAGGGTTCTTCTTCCTCGGGGCTTTGAGGTTAGCGTTGAGGGGTAAGGGGTTTAGCTTTAGGAGTTCAGTGTTTGACATTGTCCGGCAAATATGAAAGAAAGAAAATTTCAACTCGCAGGCATTGCTCGAACTCGCTATGTCAGTTTCCAGACATCTCTTTTTGGTCCTGAAAAATCGTTCCAGCTATTTCTCTTAACTGCAAATGATTTCTTTGTGCTGTTCCATCTCCATCGCACCATGCATGCCCATTCACTTGCCACGTGGCAGCTCCTGGTTGGCTGGCCGTTCATCAGCACCTTCCCTCAGGCCTACTTTGGCCGGGCATTCGACCTTGGACGAGTCTTCATCCACTTCTGGTGATGCCCTGGTCTGAGGTTCTAAGTGATACTTGTGTTTGGAGAGTGATTGGAATAACAGCCGTATCGTGCTTCTCCTATCCCTTCTTTCCTCTACTTTTCACCTTGGACGAGTCGTAGTCCACTCGCTTCACGCTTTCACATCGGGTCTGTCAAATTTAACTTCGACCCTCACTCAACTTGTGTCTAAACCCTTCATTCAATCCCTCGCGCTTGCCCTCTCCTGCCCACTTCTCTTCCCTCCCCTCTCTCCGTTCAGGTCTGTCAACTTCAAGTTCGTCCCCAGGTCAACCATTGTGTCGAAGCCCTTTGCTCAACCCCTCTTGCTTGCCCTACTCCTTCATCTCCGTCCTTTCTGTTGCCCTCTCTTCTCATCAGGTCTGTCAACTTTAAGTTTGTCCCCGAGTCAACATTTGTGTCCAAGCCTTTTGCTCTTTCTCTCTTGGGGCTGCACCTGCTGCTGCTGCTGCTCTTCTGCCACTTCTGCTGGTGCAAGTGAGTGGTGTTCGAGTGCGTTTCTCTCAAGTAACTTTTGCAATGCATGTGGAAACAGAACAGAATGCATGTTTCTCTCACCTGTTGCTGCTCTTCTGCCACTTCTGCTGGTGCAGGTGAGTCTTATTTCAATGTTTTTTGTACAAGTGGGTGAGTTTGTCCAATGCATTTAGCATGGGGGGGACCTGCTACTGCACCTGCTGCTGCTGCTCTTCTGCCATTACTGCTAGTGCAAGTGAGTTGAGTTCGAGTGAGGTTTGTACAAGTTAGTCTAGAATGAGTAGTTCTGTAATCGTGACTTTGTCCAATGGGTTTGGAGCATAGTGCAGCTGCTGTTCGTCTGTCACTACCGCCTGGTGCAAGTAGGCTCAGTTAAGGAGGACTTAGTGCGACTTGATAAAGAGCATTCTGATCTTACTGATTTTTCTGCTTCTTCTGCCGTTGATCCTGTTGCTGCTGGTAAAATGCCACACTGATGCGGCCCTTCCATCCCTCTTACATCATAACCCTTCATCTCCCTCTCCATCCCTTTCCATCCATTCCCACTCATCTCCCGCTCCCTCCTGCCAGGTACAAGGGCAGCGTGTTTAAAGTCGCCATGTGCGCTGCTCTGTCCTTTACAGTTACCACGTATCTCATTTCCTTTACTCATGAGATATCCCGAGAGCCATCTACCATGTATACTCTTATCCCTTTCCCCCATCCCCCCTCATCTCCCACTCTCTCTCCCACCAGGTATGAGGCCGGCATGTTTCGAGTTGCCATCGCTGCTCTGCTCTCCCCGTTCAAACGACTGCAGACCCGCCCGTTGCATCCTGACCGTACGTTATTGTCCCATCGTGACCGCTCATCATCATGGCTTGGTGTTGTCACATCACGATGGCATCCGTATCCTGTTTTTTGGTGCCCCTTCCTCTAGACCAAAGCACTCACCTCACACTGATATCAACCCCAAAACCTTGTTGTAGAACCCAGCGTATAGTGATTATGGTGAAGTTAATACCCAATCTCTTAAAAGCTCTCCGACTTCTGCAATCAAATTGGTTTCTCCTTTTCTACTGAGTCAATAAGAAACCCTAAGCCCCGAGAGGGTCCATAACCCTTAAAGCCCCGGGCGGGTTTCATTGCTGATCATCGTTGCACTGGCATTTCCATCAATGCATCCTTCATCTATTCAAACCTGGACTTCCACCCCACTGTGCTGCAGACACCACCTACCTACCTGATGTTCATTGGTAGTTTCATTGTTGCACTGCCATCTCGCTCGATGCATCCTCATTCATCTATTAAAGCCCAAGCCTGGTCCCCGTCCTGCTGCAGACATCACATACCTGATGCTCGTTGGTAACTTCATTGGAATCTTCTGTGCTCGCAGCCTGCACTACCAGTTCTACTCCTGGTCGGTACCAAACCTCGTTTCTCTACTTATCGAATGATCGAATCCCCTCTTTTTCCCCAACTACCGAATGCCCTCTTTTTCCCATTCTCCCTACCACCGCTACCTCTTCCACCTACTGTGCTCCTCCCCCGCCTCTCACATTTTGAACCTCCTCCTCTTCAGTCAATCCTTCTTGGCTTCTCTGATTGGTCGCAATGCGTCTCTTCCTCCTCTCTTCCTCCCCTCCCTTACCCCCCTGCATTTGAGTTCTCCTCCCCTCCCTTTTCCCCCTGCATTTGAGTTCTCCTCCCCTCCCTTCCCCCTCTGCATTTGAGTTCTCCTCCCCTCCCTTCCCCCCTGCATTTGAGTTCTCCTCCCCTCCCTTTCCCCCCCCCTTTCAGGTACTATTTCTCCATCCCCTACCTCCTATGGATCTCTCCTCTCCCCACACCACTTAGGTAAGTGCTGATGCCATGACACCATTACACAGGCAATATTCGACGACAGTAGCAATATTCGACGACAGCACTCAGATCCATATTTTTGTACGCTTTTTAAGGAGATTCATTCATTATCGCCCTGTGCTCAATTCGAGTACACTGTACACGTACACCAATGCCGTTCGGAGTTCAGTCGTTCTCGCCATTCCCTTGGCCTATCCCCTTCAAATATGCATGAAGTGCCAAGAAATAAGTCTTGGTGTGCGCCCAACAATATTGATTTATTCCACCCGTCCACCCTGGCCTCCTCCCTCTCCCTCCTCCTCATCCTCCTCTCCCTCCTCACTCCCTCCCACACCTTGTGTTCCCATCCCCCACCCCTCCCCCCTTCCAGGCTGCTTCTCTGGCTGACCATCGAGCTCTGTTGGAACATCTACCCGTCCACACCAGCCTCCTCCCTCTCGCTCCTCCTCATCCTCCTCTCCCTCCTCACTCCCTCCCACACCTTGTGTTCCCATCCCCCACCCCTCCCCCCTTCCAGGCTGCTTCTCTGGCTGACCATCGAGCTCTGTTGGAACATCTACCCGTCCACACCAGCCTCCTCCCTCTCCCTCCTCCTCACGCACCTCTCCCTCCTCCTCGCCCTCTGGATGGCCCCCCCCCGCCTGCCCTTCGGAGCAGACGAGCAGTCCTGGCAGGGGCAGGGGGGAGCGGGGAAGGGGGAGGGCGGTGCAGTGGGGGAGATGGAAGGTATGGGGAAGGAGGAGCGGGAGGCCATGTGGCAGCAGTATGTGCAGCAGATGACACGAGAGGCTGAAGCTCAGGCTGCTGCCGCTGCTGCTGCTGGTGCTGGAGAGGGGTCAAAAGGAGCAGAGGGAGAGAAACGAAAGGCAGAGTAAAGTTGTTGGGTTCGACGGGGGGGAGGAGGAGCGGGAGGCCATGTGGCAGCAGTATGTGGAGCAGATGACACGAGAGGCTGAAGCTGCTGCTGCTGCAGAGGCAGCCGCAGAGGGGACAAAAGGAGCAGAGGGAGCAGGAGCAGGAGCGGGGGGGGGATGGGAAGGGAGCAGAGGGAGAGAAACGAAAGGCAGAGTGAATGAAATTGATGGGTGCGAGATAGGGACGAGGAGAGGGAGGCAACGTGGCAACAGTACGTGCAGCAGATGACACGAGATGCTGAAGCTGCTGCTGCTGCTGCTGCAGAGGCGACACGGAGGGGACAAAAGGCGCAGAGGGATCAGGAGCAGGAGCAGGAGCAAGGGAGGATGGCAAGGGAGCAGAGGGCGAGAAGCGAAAGGCAGAGTTGCTGGTGTGGATGCAGATGCGTTTCTGCATGCAGCATCTGTGTGTGTGCCAAAGTAGTAGCAACAAGTGATTTTATATGCCAGCCAGGCTGCAAGTGAGGAAGCTCCAGCAGCAGCAGCAGCAGCAGCAGTACCATACACACTTGAGAACCAGGAGCTGGAGTTGGTTTGGTTGGCATCGGGGTGACAAAGGCATTTGACAGTATATGCATTTTACAGAAATGGAGCAAGATTTCAACCTACAGTACATTTTCCAGCTTCCAACGAGTCGCATATCCCCAATTCACAGCCTTTTTTTTCATTCCCTAACTGATTGGGGCTACAGATTACCGGTAGTAGAGAATGCCAAGTATGCAGCTTGGAATAACAGCAGCATGCAACATCCTGGATCTCAGAAAACACAAGCACAAAAGAGAAGTAAGTGGCATTCTACAGTCTACTAAATCAGAAACACACAATTGAACTATCTGCCCATGCAGAAAGCTGCTTCTGTGTCTACACTACATCTGCTGCTGCCCCCCACCATAGTCCCCCCAGTTGGCCCCCTCCTCCCATTCATCCTCTTCCTCCACCCTTCTTCTCCTCCTGTCATAAACCCCCCCTTCCTCTACCACCCTCTTTCTCTTATCATAAATCACCCCTCTCGCCTTACCCTGGGAAACCCTCACTCCATTCAAGTACTCCCTCACCATTCTTGTTGCAAACGGATTTGTCTCCGGCCTCCCTCCATTCTCCTCAAATGCGGCTCGCAGCCGGCCAATCAGGGCGTCCAAACTCCCCCACGCCTGCTTCATAGGGCAGACGCATGACTCCCGTACCGAGCTAGACCCATATAACGGGCATCCTAAATCATGTACACGCGTGCGCCCAAATTGGTCCATATAGCGCATGTATTCCACCACATGACGCGGTGTAGCGCGAATCATTGCCACAGGAGGCTGATGCCGGGCCAAATACTGGCTGAAATTGTTCCAATCCCGCTGCTTCTGCGCATCATACTTATTCGCGGGACGAGTCTGCTGCCCCTGCAACCCACTCTGTCCAAACCCAGACGCCACTACAGCAGCAGCATTCGGGGACTTGGGATCGCTGGGACGAAGCGGGGCGAGCGGTGGAACGGCGGGGGCGGGCGTGAGCGGGGTCTGCAGCGGCTGCTGCTGGTGCTGCATGTCCAGGAGCATGGAGAACACACCGCTCGCAGAAGCGCCGTTAGAAACGACAGCGGTGGAGCGATTTCCAACGCCAGTCCCGGATTCCGGACCAGCGCCTTCCTCGACTTTAACCGTGACCTCGTTTTGAGCTGCTTCGTTTTGAGCCGCTTCAGTTCGAGACGCCTCGGTTTGAGCCACTTCGGTTTGAACTGCTCCGGTTTGAGCTGCTTCGGTTGGAGCCACTTCATTTTGAGCCGCTTCAGTTTGCGCTGCTTCGGTAGCTGCTTCAGTTTGAGCCGCTTCGTTTTGAGCTGCTTCGTTTTGAGCTGCTTCGTTATGGGCTCCCAGGTTGTCCTGAACAGCCGGAACATTCAGATTATTATCCGCTTGTCCCAGGAAACTTTCATGAGCTTGATTGGTAGTTGCTTCAGTTGCAACTGTTTCATTTGTAGCTGCTTCGTTAGTAGCCGCAAAACCTCCATGATTCCCTCCTGGTAGACTTCCTTGCAGCAGCGCGTCTCCGTGCGCCGCATCTCCCACCGCCAGCTGCTCATGGAGCGAGCCCCTTCCGCCTTGGGTCAACTGCTGAGTGAACGTCTGATGCTGCTGGGTGAACGTTGGCTGCTGCTGAGCAAACGCTGGATTTTGTTGAGTGAACGTTGACTGCTGCTGCTGAGTGAACGTTGGGTTCTGCTGCTGAGTAAACGTTGAATTCTGCTGGGTGAACGCTTGATTCTGCTGAGATCCTCCGCCATGGATCGTCTCGTGAGTTAACTGCTGAGTAAACGCAGAATGACGCGCCGCTTCTTGAATCAGCTGCTGTGTTAACGCCGCGTGCAGCGACGATCCTCCGTGCAAAGCATCATGAGCTGGCGCCGAGTATTGCGCCGCGTATTGCGATGATCCAGAATAGAACTGCTCGTGAGTTGACGCGCCTGGATTCGCCGGCTCAGGGCCGGTGTTTTCCGCCTGCAGCTGTGATGCGAGAAGCCCATCGCGGTACGCTCGGAACACGGCTTGAGCGAACGGATCCGCCATTGCGCTTTCGAAATCGTTGAGGCTCAGATGTAAGTCGACCAAGTGACTTCTTTCCCTGCACAGACGACATCGGGACGACGAGGATGCGAATTAGACTCGAAAGCGACTCAGGAGGGACTTGGGATGGAAAGACAGAAATCTGCTGAAAGAAATTACGGCACCGCGATGCGTGGATTGGAACTACACAATGATGGTAGGAATTTTACGACGATGAAATTTTGACGAGTTCGTGGATTGGACGGGCCTTTGAGCTTGGAGTGTACCAGATGAGCCTAGGAGCTACAGTGATTGCAGGTGTAGTCGCTGCACTCTCGAAGCAGCAGGAAATGGTGATCCAAGCTAATAGAGAGAGAGGTACACGGCGAAACCCCTATAGAGAAGGCAGCAGCTACACCAGCAGCAAGTGCTACACCAGCAGTGAGAGCTACACCAAGAGAGCTTCCATTGCAACGAGAGCTACACGCAGCAGGCTGGAGTTATCGGGTCTACACTGGGTGAGCTCGAGGTTCTTCTTGATTGAGAGCGGATGAAAGAGAACGAATGAAACCCTAGGCGGACGAAAGTGGAGCACGGGGGGAGGGGAAGGAAGGGGAATGGGGGAGGGGGGAGGAAGCGCGGAACTGATGAGCGCAAAGGCTTAGTCAAGGGCAGAGTTTGGATTCTAAAATGTCTGGTAAGGAGCAATGTGTACACGTAAATGAGGCTATCGTGTTCGGGTCCGGTGTGGCAAAAGGCTTATGCAGACATTTGCGAAATGGAAGTGACGAATTTGCTAGCAGCGCTGAAGCCAAAACGGTGTATTCGCCATGGCAGTCTGCAGGGTGGTGAAATTGTTGGGAAAGTACATCCCAGCTCCTTAGTTTCAGATTTCTCTCATATTTAGCCCCGGTTTCACTCAAAAAGTACGACTTTCTATAAGTTTGCTCACGTGAGGCCCAGATTATGTTCAAAACTGGTCCTGCAGGGCAAACTTTTCGACACATGTCCATTTTCGCATTAAAGATTTGTTTACGGGTGCAAACAACATAGCACCCTCGGGAACCAGGACACATTTGCGGGACGGATCAACCCTAAACACCTAGCGGGTTTCCCAGATTAGGGTTGATCCCTCCCGAAAGTGTGTCCTGGTTCCCAAAGGGTTTTATGTTTTTTACCCCGTCGAAAAAACTTGGCCTAGTTTTTTTAATCCAGAAGTGGCCTAGCCAGTAGAAAGAGGCACCTCCGATAGATGAGGTCCTGGGATCGAACCTACCCCCGTGCAGGCGTGTTCTGCCGGCCCCAAGAAGGGGTTAGTATGTGCTCATCTAGGAATGGATACCACTAAAAACTGGTTACGACCGGAAATATAACTTTAACTTGGACCTACAAGACCAGTTTTTAACATACTTTGGGCCTCGCGTGAGAGAAATCCCAGAAAGTCATACCTTTTTAGTGAACCTGGGGCTAAACATGAGAGAACTCTGAAACTCAGGAGCTAGGATGTACTTTCCCGAAATTGTTCGCTCGACTGAAAGGGCAGGCCCAGAATTCCGGTGGTTCATGTTCAAAATAGCGGGGTGGGGGGGGTGCATCTGTTGCTCGTACCACCGCCCACCCCGCATTTGAGCGGAAAATCTATGCTAAGCGCGCTCAAGTGGAAGCAAGCAACCGTTCGATAATCCCGCCCAGCCAGCTCACCCAGAATCGTGTCCGCCTATTACTCCGTGAAACCCGCTTTCACTCATATGCGCTCATTGCAATGAGTGCAACTCAATTTCTCCATAAAAAACACGTTACAGAATCTGGGTCAACGGGAAATTAGAAGAGGAGGCACTAAAAACATGCACCATCCTTACTTTTCAGAGTTGTGATGGAACTACAAGGATATGAATCCAAACGGAGGAGAAGTGACAATTAAGTCTTTGTGGTCAATGAGCCTTGGAAGATCCAGTTGTTCATTCGAACTCCCATTGTTTTTTTTTCCAACCTCGATTGTTGGAATAATTGAAAGGTTATTATGGCTCTTGACAAGTATGGCACAGAAAATTTGCACTCCCCACTATCTCGCTACAGTTACACTCATATAAGGCATGGAGGGTTAGGGAGGTGGATGGTCAGCACGTTTTTCACTTGATAACTGCCATGCATCATAAAACTCGCTGGAACGATACATATAATACGATTAGAAAGCTAATGTACCACTCATTATACATGGCTAACTTTGACAATTTGACACACTTTATTGATTCTTTTGTTGTTCATACATTCACCACGACAAGGTTTATTTCAAACTTCCGTTGTCTTACCTTTTTAACTTAGGGTACATTCCTGGAGCGCGTCACAAAAGTCTTGCGTCTCAAACGAAGAGATGCAGTGCGGTGGAAATGTTCGACACTTAGGTGTAATGCGGTGCAGACTGGTACAGCG